TCTCAAAAAAAAAATCAAAGTTAAAGGGGGGACAAAATTTCGGGAAAATAGTCTTGCCTAGAGTATTTAACCTTCTCAAAAATGCTCGGAGTGTTAATAAGAAACATATATTATTGAAGTTTGAAGTGGATACAATTAGGAAATAAAGGGAAGTTATTTTTAAAAAAGGGGGGGGAGGGAACCCAAACATTTTTTTCCCCTAAAAAATCTAAGTTCAAGGGAAGGTAATACTGATATTTTTTTTGTGCTAAAGGGGGAGTTATTTTTTTAAACCTTGTCACATAATGATTTGGTTGAGATGACCACGAAACCCTTATATTTAAAGTTTGAAGTAAACACCTTAAGAAATAACAGAAACATATAGTGAAAAAGCTGAAAAAATTTAAATCAGAAATCTTTGGAAATTCAGGCTATTTGTTGCCATAGCAACCAGAATTTTCAAACATAAGAAGAAAAAGAAAAAGATGTGCATAATCTCCAGGAACTGCCATCTAACCCATATTTCAAGTTTTCAAAAAATATTTTCAGTACTTTTTTAGTTATCACTGGATCCAGTTTTATGTGTTTAAATTTTGCCATATTTCAGACTATTTTTGTTGCCATAGCAACCAGAATTTTCAACATGGAAGAAAAAAAAGACGTGGCATAAATACTCCATACGTGCACCATCTATACAATATATCAAGTTTCATAAAAAATATTTTCAGTACTTTTGCCGGCCGTTTATCGCGGGGATCCAGTTTTGTGGACGGACGGAACTGACGGAATGACAGACTGACAGGACAGACGGACAGACGGACAGACAGACAGACAGCAGACGGACAAGACGGACGGAGGGTAAACCTAAAGTCCCCTCCGGTTAAACCGGTAGGGGACTAATAAGCCACAAGAATCAACCATTCTTGTTGTTGTTGTTCTCTATAATTTCGTGTATGAATAAATTGTCGGAAAGTTTGACAAAACATGATAATAAAGTTAAGCATGATACTGAGAATATATCAACAATGATGCATCTAAAAGATTTGAAATATTTCAGTTAAAGCAGTATGATATTATCAGAGGCAGGGGTATTAATTTGTCAACATTTATACACAATATAATATATAAATAACTTCTATAAAACATATTTATATCACAGACATCATTTTTGGATTATATCATTAAAGGCTAATAAGGACCTACATGTATTTATCTATTGAAAACTTTATTTGATTAAACAAATAAAAAAACTAAATTTACGGTATGGTGTGAACAAAGACAAAATCATTAGGTCAGCACTGGTCTTTAAACTCTTGAAACATGTAGCTAAACTTAGTTATTTTTGTGTGTGTGTTTTTGTTTTTGTTCTTTTTTAACGTGTCTTGTGTTTTTAAAAATACACTCTAATATGTCATAATCACTTTGAGTCTCTTGTAAGAAGACCATAGGGTCATGGCTGGTCTTTGTAAACAAACATGTTAGATACTTATTGTATATCGCTGAATTATGTGTTTCCCCAAATAGTTTAGAATGCTTTTAAATCTAAAAACTATTTATAGGGAAAATGATGGGTTTTTAAAAAAAACTTGGGAAACCTTTTAAAGTTTTTTAATACCCCAAATTTGTTCCCCGGCACGTGTACCCAAAAATTGAAAACTTTTAATAAACATTGTAATAAAAGATTAAAAAAAACTTTTGAATTTGTTAAATTTTCAGACTATGTATACATTTTACACAAAATTTTTAAAATCTTTAATTTTCCCCGAAATGTTCAAAACATTTTTTTTCTCAAAAAGTTTTTTAGGTAAAATTTTATGTTTTTGGAAAAAATTTCTTATTTTGGCCCCAAAACTATCCCTTTGTTTTTTTGCCCTTTTATACGGGAAATTTTTTTACCCCTATTTGAAGTAAAAAAAATACTTTTTTTACATTTTTTTCCCGTCTTTTCGCATATAATGAACGTTTAGGGTACCCTTTTTTCAAGTTCTTTTCACAACTAAATGCTTTTAAAACCCCACTTTTTACTATTTTAACCCCGTGTTTGAGGCCCAAAAGGTTTCCTTTAATTTTCTTTTTTTTAGCTCGCTATTCAAAAAAAAAAGGGGAGCTTTCCTTGTCCCCCGAGAGTCGGGGTAAACCCTTTATGTTTAAAATTTGGGGTACCCCCTAATTTTCAAAGTACATAATTTTGTATGAAACTTTGCACATCGCCAAAATCATGCCCCACCTTGCACACAGGGAGGAGGATAACTGTAGCTTCTTCACAATGGGTTATTGCTTTATTTATTACTATCAAGTACTGAGAATAGGTCGAGCATGCTGTCTCTTGACAGCTATTGTTTATACGGGCCAAAAAAAGTAGATGTCAAAATGGCATGCACCAATTTTTAAATGGTTGTATTTTCCAGTGCTGTTTTAATTATCGTTGAATTGCTTGTTGTTTTTTTTGTTGTTTAGTTTTTTCCTTCACATATCTCAATACTTATATTTGAAACAACTGTTTAACCTGATGCTTGCTAGATTGTCCTTATGTATTGAAACTTTCCTTGCCTTCTATTCAGAGAGAAAAAGAAACATCATTTTAAAGTTTCCTCCAGAATCTAGTTTGTTTTTCCTTTTGCTTTTTTTCATGTTTGTTTTAGCTCTAGGGAAAACAGGGTTTCCCCCAAATTTTAAAACTGGCCTCCTTTCCCCACCCCCAAAACCCCCCCCCATGGGAAAATTTTCATTGTAAAAATTTAATTCATTTTTCATCTTGGGCCCTTTTCCCAGAAACTTACCAAATTAAAATTAAAAAAACTTTTTTTTGGGGGGGTTTTTTTTTAACCCCCGTTTTCGGTTTTTTTTGGTTTTTCTTTCCCAAACCGAACCTGGCCGGGGGCGTGGCCCAGTGGTTAACGCGGGGGGACTAAAGGGGATTCTAGCCGGGGGTGGGGTTTAAAAAACCCCACGGATCAAGTCGAGAATTAAAACCTTTTTTCAGTTTTGTTTACTTAGTACCGGTTGGGCTCAATGAAGGATTTAAAAGGGGTCTATAAAAATTATAGTTCCCCACACCCGACTAAAAAAAATTTATTATAAACTTTTTCTTAAAAACGAACGGGATTAATTAAATTAACGCTAGTTTACAAAAGTGATTTAAAAATTTTGTTTGAGTGCTGGAAAAAAAAACTTTTCTCGATTACTAACATATAGGCATTGGCTGATACATAGAAAAAATAACCAAAACCCTTTTAAAAAAAATTTTTTTTTTTATATGTTTTGATAATTTTATAAAATGTAAATTTTACATCAAATACTTTCGTATAATTTTTTGAAAAAAGGGGCGGGAATTTAAAACCCTAAATTCGGGGGCCAAACGTTGTACTCAAAAGAGTTGTATTTTTAACCCTCCCGTGTATAAAGCAGGGAAAAAAAAAATCAAAAATTTAAATTTTTTTATCATATTACATATTGGTTTTTTTGAAAATTTATACTGCCCCTTAATTTTTTCATGACTAAATTCCCTTAAAGTTAATCAAGGGACTTTCGCAAAAACCATTTATGAAAAACGTAATGACGTAAAAGGTAGGCTCACGTGAGGCATTAAATATTACAAGATCGTATATTTAGTAACCATTTAGTAACACACGTAATTACAAGCACCTGTCGGTAATTCCATTGTACAAATTGTATTTTAGGAAAACACCTTCGCTATGCATAAATTAGGTATTTATTAAGTTTACTTACTAAGTATGATTCAAATTTATCTCCGCTCAACTACGTATTTAGCATGAGTAAAAAAAATATCTTTGTATAAGAACCCGGTTATCTCCCTTGTTAACAACAATGACGTCATACATGAGCTTAAGAAATTTTGTTCGTCTGCATGTAATTTTAACAAATAATGAAAATTAACAACAAGAACCATAACAATTTAGCAATCATTCTAGTTGTTGTTGTTGTTCTGTATAATTTCGTGTATGGATAAATTGTAGGGAAGTTTGATAAAACAATAATAATAAAGTTAGGATATATAAAAAATGATGCTTTTCTAAAAAGCTTTTTTGAAAAATTTTAATTTAAGCAGTTTTTATTACAGAGGAGGGGATTTTTCAACAAAAAAAACTAATATAAAATTAAATAAATTTTATAACCCTATTTTTATCAAGACTCATAAATTTCTAACATTTTGGAATATTTCTTAAAAGGGCCCTAAGAACCACATGTACTTTTTCTATTTTAAAACCCTTTTTTTTATTTAAAAAAAATAAAAAAAAAATAAAAATTGGGTTTAAATTTTTTAATTGGGATGGACAAAAAAAAAATCATTAGATCACGGTGGTTTTTTAAACACCCAAGCTAAAAATTTTGTTATTTTGTTTTTTATATATTTTTTGCTTAAGAAAAGTTTTTTTTTAGTTTTTTTAAAATTTTAAAAATTTTACTTTTAAAAAATTCATAAAAAATGAAAAATTTTTTGTAAAAAAAAACAAGAAACCATTTGGGCCCTGGCTGGCTTTAAAAAAAATAAAAAAGAAAATTCTATTGGGTTTGGGTTTTCCCAAAAATATATTTAAAAAAGCTTAAAGCAATTTTAATTTAAAATTTGGGGAAAATTTTTTATATTTAAATTTCTTGGGTTTTTTAAAAACTGGAAACCTTAAAATTTTTGGGAAAACCCAAAAATAGGTTGGGAAAAGGTCGGGGTAAAATTATTGGAAACTTTTAATTAAACTCAGAAAAGTTTTAAAAAAAAACTTCTGAAAATTTTTTAAATTTAAGTAAAACATTTACACAAAAAAATTTTCCCAATTCAAATAGAAAACAATTATTTTATTTTAAATTTAAAATATTTTAAATTTTTTTTTATACATGGGTGCTGTTATTTTGTTGGATAACTACAATAAAATTTTGGACGCAGATGTAAAAATCAAAACAATAACAAATATGAAGCCAAATATTCACCACTCCGGTATTCAGATGACTTCAAAGCTTCTAAAAATAGATTTAGAAGCATCACAATATCACATATATTTCCATTTTTGTCAAAAAGTTTATTTGTCAATTTTTACAATTAAAACACATCATAGCTATCAGTCTTTCACAACATTGTTAATAAAAACATTATTACAGTCAATTATGATTTTAATCCTTTGCTGGACCCAGTTCCATTTCTTTTTGGTAAAGCAATAAATCGGGGCCTCGATGTGATGTTAAATTCACCTTCAAGGGCCTCTGATAATACATTGAGTAATGTGTTCTCTATTATCCCTTCCACGGCATTTCCAAATTCTGGCAGTCTGAAATACACATAGATACAATTTAGTACAATAAAAGTTATTTAGTATTTTGTATGGACGTCAAAATACTACTTTGTTTACATGCTGCAACATTTATAACAAATTACTTCCCCTTTATCTCTAATTTCTTCAGGTTACAAGCAACTTACATTCTCTAAAACCTTTATTTAAATGTTATAAAATTCATATTTGCCCTTTCTAAAGAAGTAAACAATTTCTCGTTTCTGAGGTATAATGTGACTTTAACTAAATTTCTACTAAAATTTAAGTAGATCTTTTATTTTTAAAACATAGTTTAGCTGTTATAGCTCGACAAAATTGATGAGGTATTTTTATCAAATCAAAATTTCCTTAATTTGTGATACTGAAGTTCAAAGCCATTGAAATACAGATTCATACATTTCCAAACTGTTTCATAAATGCACTTTTTTTCATTGATAAAGTGATGCTAAATTTTTAGTAAAATAAATGAACAGAAATCTATCTTAATTTCATCACTTTAAGTATAGGTTAAAGTGTATTAGTACGTATTTTCATAATTAAATTAGTCAGGTGTGGCACAGCAGCGCGACCAATTTAATTATGTAAATACATACCAATAAATTTAAACCAGAGAAGTGTTTTAAATTATTTCTTTAAAGAGTCGATTTACAAGACTATTAACAGTTTGCCGATTATTCAAAGTAAATGTGTAACAATACATTTGAAATACTGCAATCCTACCGAAAAAAAATAATTTCAACACTAAATGAATAAAAAGAGTCATACATGTATATATTTAGCAATAGTAATCATAACAAACTTTCAAACAACTTACAAACACAGATAACAAGAAAACTGACTAAAATACACAATTTGGAAAATGGACCAAGAAGATGTACACCAAATTTCAATAGTAGTTCATTTTAACTGACTTTGTTAACAAGTACAATTGTGTAATAAAACAATGAGAATCCCCAGCATTGATAAAGAAATGGTTTTGGATATAAGTGACAACAGCACAGAAAAGTTCATATGGCAACTTTCATGCTTTATTGGCAGAGCAGGAATGCACGTGCCCTCCATGCATTACATGTATTTCAGTCACAGACAGGCACCGAAGAAGAACCATGGACATTCCAAGAGACAGCTGGATAGCTTCCCCTTATATGAAATAATTCATAGTTCCTAGAGGGATTCAAATCTAAAGATTGAAAAATGGGCAAGTCCCTTTAAAAAATATCATGAGGATAGAGTAAATTATATAAATATGACAACATTGCTTTTGACAAAAATATGAAAATTCTTCTTGTGACCAACATAAATATGGAAATTTTTGAAGTGCTTGACAAATAAACTGTTACAACAATAATTATGTCTAGCACTTAACATAAAAACAGCAGTTTTTAAAAAATGGCAAATTTTTCAAGAGCAAGAAATCAGTATGACAATTTTTCAAGTGCAATACATCAATTTGGCAATGTCTATCAAATTTATATAAATTGTCTTTTAATACAAAAATACAAAATGGTTTTTTGCCCTTGAAAATAAAGCGAAATAAAACAAACTTTAATAAGATAAAAGTGAATAAAAAAAGTTCTTACTTAAATACCATCCACCTTTTAAAGAAAACATTATGAAATTGAAATGAGCCGCGTCATGACAAAACCAACATAATGGGTTTGCGACCAGCATGGATCCAGACCAGCAAGCGCATCCGCACAGTCTGATCAGGATCCATGCTGTTCGCTATCAGTTTCTCTACTTGTTATTGGGTCTGTAAGCGAACAGCATGGATCCTGATCAGACTGTGTGGATGTGCAGGCTGGTCTGGATCCATGCTGGTCGCAAACCCATTATGTTGGTTTTGTCGTGACACGGCTCAAATAAAGATTTCTTGGTTTATTTCAATAATTGCTTCTTAGTTTACCTTGACCATTAAACTTTGCACAGCTTAGTAATTTCTGACATTAAATATCTAAATTCTGTTTTGTTTTTTTTTTCATTTTAAAATGATTCAAAGATTTTTTTTCCTTTTACATTATACTGTTTTTACTTTTACATGTTTCATAACATTTTTTTTATCACCAAGTTTCTTCTATTAGTAAGTACTATTTTTGCATATTCTTACCTAGTTTTGGTTATTTTCATACATGTTAAGGGCCATTTGCAAAGTGTACATAACATTCTTTTCCCCTTAATAATTTTTACTTTTTCATACATTTTTAAAATTTTCAAGAAAATTAGCATAAATCTGGAGGCATGCTGCTTAAAAAATTACAATCATATCCGTTAGAAACCCTTAACAAACTAGATATCAAAAAAGTCATTCTTGAATGTTACAACAATATTGGAAATAACACTAAAAGAAAAAGATAAAAGAAAATTATTTGAAAATAGTAAACAATTATGGCCAACCAATATAAGTAACCCTCAATCACCTCTTTTCCTTTTTTTTTTTAAAGGTTCATTATGCCCTAGAAATGCTTTGATCTTTTTATTTCTCAAAAAAAATTTATATTTGGTGTACTTTTATAGTTTCCAAAAGGTAACCCATCGGCAAATTACCTTAACCATCTTTTTATTTGGTTGCTTTTTCGCAATAAGTACAATAGTAACTTTAGTGATTATGTATTTTTTATGTAAGTTTAAATGCCACTTTGCCTACATTCTACAACTTTGATCACAAATTATTTCACATTTAGCACTACTTTATTCAGGTTACAAGCACCAAACATGCACTAAAACCATTATTTAAACATTATTAAATTCATATTTGCTTTTTCTAAAGAATTAAAAATTTATTCGTTTCCTGAGGCATGACGTGCCTTTAAGTACTCAAGAAAAAATATCTTACAACATGATACATATAAACTTACTTTTTCAGGTCCTGTTTTTGTTTCAATTGTTCCTCTTCTTGTTTAACTTTCATCACCTCAGCCTTAGAGAACCTAGGTGTACTAGTCTTGGATGCTCCAGTGCCACTAGTCTAAAAATAGTAACAAGGAAATATGTAAAAATAATTTCTTACACATTTTTTTGTTTAAAAAATCAAAACAACACAATTAAGGTCATATTAAAGTTTAATCTGGTTGAAGAAGACACTTGGTGCCCTTTTTATAAAATTAGGGTCTTATGGCAACTTTTCAGTTATTCTGGTTGAAGAAGGCCTTGGTGCCCCTATGAGGACACTTGTTTCCCTTTTTACACAATAATGTTCGCATGGCAACTTTTCAGTTTTTCAGGTGGAAGAATGCTTTGATGCCCCTATGAACCTTTTACACAATTAGGGTAATATGGCCACTTTCCAGCTTTTTTGGTGGAAAAAGTATTTGGTTGCCCCTTTATGCATTGTTTCTAAACATATACTTGAAAAGAACAAATGGTTTTCCCTAAGCTACCTTAATACCTTTCACACAAAAAAGGATTAAAAAGTCCCTGTTGAAATACAATAACTAACAAAGTTAAGGGGCATAAGATCCAACACTAGCAATATCGACCACAGGGGACCCCCCCCCCCCCCCCTGAACATGCATGAATTTTGGGGAGCCATTAAACAATATAACATTGTAACACTTAATATGAGCCGCGTCACGACAAAACCAACATAGTGCGTTTGCGACCAGCATGGATCCAGACCAGCCTGCGCATCCACGCAGTCTGATCAGGATCCATGCTGTTCGCTTACCGACCCTTTTACAAGTAGAGAAAATAAGAGCAAACAGCATGGATCCTGATCAGACTGCGCGGATGCCCAGACTGGTCTGGATCCATGCTGGTGGCAAACGCACTACATTGGTTTTGTCATGGCGCGGCTCAATTATCATTACCTTGCTTCTTCCTGAAGACACTGATCCTGTTTTACTCTTCGTCTTCTTTTTACTTGAAGCTGTAGAACTAACAGATGTGGGCGTGGCAGGTAGACTGGTTGCTCGCTCACTCGTCTCCTCTGTTACCATATCTGTTGTCATCTCTACCGGAGAGCCGGGAGGAGACCCAGATTCTTGTGGGGCGTCGAGTATCCTACGTTCTCCTATCTGAGCGAATATAGGAATCGGGTCCTTCATTACCTTCAGCACAGAGGAATGGAAACTCGTGTCATCCAGTAATCCTCTGTATAAACATAAGTAAAAATAATCTTTTATTATAAATTTAAAACAGCAAATGCCTATTTCAAACATTTTTTTTGGGGGGGGGGGTTAAAGGATGTCCGAAAGCCTAAAAATATCAAATTAGAATTTCTTACATAGATCAGCTGGGGCACTTAATACAGAAAGATATACAAAAGATAAGTAAGAAATATACTCAGAAATAAAGTTAAATTTATATTTTTGTGCTATACGTAGTCTGATTACAATGAAAAAGCATTGGAAAGTTTTTCAATTTGAGGTAATTTTTCCCAGAATATTCTGGAACAAGAGGGTCATGATGGCCTGAGGTCGCTCACCTGTATATAGGCCCACCAGCCCCCCCCCCTCCCCAACGTTGCAGGGCCATTTTTAACCCAAGGGCTTTTATTTGCACAAACTTGGTAGACACCCATAAGAAGATGTTTCATGCTAAACATCTAAAGCTCTAGCTCTTTGGGCTTTTTAAAAGAAGATTTTTTTAAAGTTTTTACTATACACATATAGTTAAAAACAATGACACCCCTGGGGCCGGGCCAGTTTTGACCCCAGGGCTTTTATTTGAACAAACTTTGTAGACACTTACTAGAAGATGTTTAATGCTTAATATCTAAACTCTAGCTATTTGGGTTTTTTCAAAGAAGATTTTAAGTTTTTGTTATACACATATAAGGAAAATCAATGACCCCCGGGGCAGGGCCAATTTTGACCCCAGGTCTTTTATTTGAACAAACTTTGTAGACACTCACTAAAAGATGTTTCATGCTTAATATCTTAACTCATGCTATTTGGGTTTTTTCAAAGAAGACTTTTTAAGTTTTTGCTATACACATATAAGGAAAATCAATGTCCCCCTGGGGCGGTGCCAATTTTGACCCCAGGGCTTTTATTTGAACAAACTTGGTAGACACCTATTAGAACATGTTTGATGCTAAATATCTTAGCCATAGCTCTTTGAGTTATTTAAAAGAAGATTTTTTAAGTTTTTACTATATGCATAAAGGGAAAATCAATGACCCCCCCGGGGCGGGGCCAATTTTGACCCCAGGGCTTTTATTTGAACAAACTTGGTAGACACTTATTAGAACATGTTTCATGCTAAATATCTTAGCTCTAACTCTTTCGGTTCTTTAAAAGAAGATTTTTTAAGTTTTTACTATATGCATATAGGGAAAATCAATGACCCCCTGGGGCGGGGCCAATTTTGACCCCAGGGCTTTTATTTAAACAAACTTGGTAGACACTCACTAGAAGATGTTTCATGCCAAATATCTAAGCTCTAGCTCTTATGGTTTTTTAAAAGAAGATATTTAAAGTTTTTTCTTTTGGTTGCCATGGCAACCAGAGTTCTGCATGGAATTAAATTCTTTGAACAATTTTTAAAGGTGACCACCAAAGGAACATTCCTGTGAAGTTTGGATGAAATTGGCTTAGTGGTTTATGAGGAGATGTCATTTAAAGTAAAAGTTTACAGACGGACGACGGACGGACGCCGGACGGACGGACGCCGGACGAAAAGCGATCACAAAAGCTCACCCTGTCACTTTGTGACAGGTGAGCTAAAAACGGAATAAGCAATAATCTGAAATTTTACAAACAAATTATTGGTGTAAAATAATTCCAATCCCATCATGTCAAAAAACTTTAGTGGAGTCCCTTTAAGTTGGGTATCAAGTCACACCAACACTTTTATAATTTGTCACCTTAGTGCAGTAATGTGTTAACTCCTATTTAATCATATAAGGAGTTAATACGTTACTGCATTAAGGTGACAATATGGTATATTTCCAGCTTTAAAAGACTAGCATTTCTTTAAGCAGTTCTTAATGTTTACAAAACAAAAACAAGCATTTAAAAAAATGATCCAGATATGTCAATGATATTTCACATACATTGAATATTTTTCATTCATAAATTGAATATTTTTCATTGATAATTTTATCTAGAAACAGGTAACCATGGATCATTATTTACCTGAGAACATTAGCCATGACACTACCAATAACATCTGACTCGGACTGGAGACATGGAATAAGGTCTGGTCTCTTGGTCTCATGCTGATGAGCCGGCGCAGACTGCGTTGACTGGTCCATTTGAGCCTCTCTCTCACTGAGGCATCTATAACAGAATGATGTACTTATTATACAATAAACTATCTACAATGAAAAATCAAAATGACTTGATTTTAAACGTTCAATATGTAACATCAAAACTTATGAGGTCATATGGTGACTTTCTAGCTTTACTGGTAGAGGAACATTTAAAGAGCACCTTTCTGCATTATTTTCAGGCCTGAGCTGGCACCTAAATAGAACCACCAACAGATTGTAGGCTCGTTTCTTTGTTTTTCTGATTTTCATGCCGATTTTAACACATTTTTTGGTCATCTCTTGACAGACGATCCACATTATCAACTTTCTGGATGTAACTAACCAGTAAAATATCAATTTCTACCCAAGTGACCACCTACTAATCCAACATGATTTCTGAAATTAGTGGTGAGAGACACATGACCATTGCCGAGCATTAGACTCAATATTAGAGGTCAGTTGTCATGAAAAAATATCGCCTCCCCAGAAGAACCAACCCGCAACCCCTGGAGTACTAATCCAATTCTCTCTACCAATTGGCCTAAGCCGGCTGACTCACTCTTGTATGCAAGCTGGACAACTTCCTCACATGAAAGATTCAAAAGTCTCGACAATGATTTGTACACAAACAGAGAAACCAGTCAGCAAGCATAACCCTATCTGTTTAACAGAAAATTAAGATTTTTATTCTATTCCAGTAAGTATTGTTTTGTTTTTTTCTAAATCAAAACAAGTCTTGTCAGTATTACCTATCCACATAGAATTTCTTATAATCATCTGCAAAATTGGTCTGGAATGCACGGATGTCATGAGTTCTTGCGGTGAGTCCAAGATGGAGTAAGAACGGGGTCGGAGGTTCCGGTTTTTCCCACAATACATCCTCTTTCCTGCGTACTCGTTCACCTTCCTGTTTCTCCTCGTCAGGAGATAATTTACTTATTGGCGGTAAAGTCTGTTGAATAAAAGAGCTAGTGTTTGAAAGAACTTATATTTGATTGTTGAATAAAAGAGCTAATATTTTAAAGACTTATATTTGATTGTTCAATAAAAGATCTAATATTTTAAAGAACTTATATTTGATTGTTCAATAAAAGATCTAATATTTTAAAAAACTTATATTTGGTTGTTCAATAAAAGATCTTATATTTTAAAGAACTTATATTTGATTGTTCAATAAAAGATCTAATATTTTAAAGAACTTATATTTGATTGTTCAATAAAAGATCTAATATTATTAAGAACTTATATTTGATTGCAGAATAATAGTGCATATATTTTTAAGACTATTTGAATAACAAAACAAAACATTTTTTTTATCTTTTACCTTTGGAGAATGAAAATGAAATTACATACTTTGACTTTAAAAATAGTTATAAAACGATATAAAAATCTTAAGACTGCCGATACAAAACGAACTATCAAGCTAGTGGATAACTATTTATGGCGGTCACGAGGTTCCGCTGAGTTACCGCTAAACAGTTACCCGAGAGCTAGAAATTCGAGTCTGAACCGACAGCCATCTTACACCTGCTGCCAATACAGACCAGAAAATCTAGCTAGAGGATAACTGTTTATGGCGGTAACGAGGCTCTGCTGACTTACCGCTAAACAGTTACCCAAGAGCTACATATTCCGGTCTGAACCGACAGCCGTTGTTTGATTCTTTTTCTTGCATATAACATATTAATCATATTTAACAAAATAATCATACCCTGTATCTGGCTAGATCAGCAGATTCAGTGGATCTTCTACACTCTTCCATTGTTTTCAGTCTAGACAGTGGTCGGTCCTGTAAATAGTGGAAAACATGACCAGATTATTTGATTTCTTAGTTTTGTCAATATAAAGATAATAATTTAAATACGGAATTTAAAATATCAAAATCTGACTTTACTATGAACGATGTAACCTACTCATAATCTTTGTCATTAAAACTTTTTTGTTAAGTTGGGTTTTAACTCACACCAAGACATACAAAACACTTATCCACTATAATTGTACTTATTGCTAAAAAACAACAGATGAAAAACATGATTCTGGTAATTGGCCAATGAGTAACCTTTTGGATACATACTGTAAAAGTATTCCAAATTTTATAATTTTTGAGAAATAAAAAAAAAACATTTCTGAGGCATAATGGGCCTTTAAATAGAACAGCATAACTTACAGTGATTTCCGGACTACCGACACGTTTGTCGGCATCTAGATCGTCCTCGGTTATTGTAAACTCGTATTTCTGTCTCAATCTCTCGTCATCCCACTCCTTCAATCTATTCTGATAGTTTCCATATTCTACCTGATCTGTTACCTAGGTAACAAAATATTATAATGCAATAAGATATAAGAAAGAATGATCTCTCAAACTAGTGTATACATATTTAACTCCCTTTGCTTTCTTTTAAACTTCATCATTCCCTATCCCCCTCTCTATTTTTATATTATGATATCTTTATTTACAGTAAACTCTACCACCAGCCTTACACCCTTTATGTGTATAACTTATCCGTATGGGATACTTACATAAGACAGGGCACTTGGCTATTCTCAGTACTAGACAGTATGCAGAGAGTCATAACTCAAATAAGGTACTCTCAACATTCATGGGACATGTGCCAATCATGCAAAATTATCACAGAGAACAAGTGTGTTAAGTCTCAAGCCATTACCTTAAGTAGTTTTGGAGAGCAAAAACTTAACCAAAGTATGACCTAAATAAGTACAATAACTCTAAATAAAACAAAACACTTATATAACTGTCAGAGATAACCTCAACTTTTCAATAGCTGAAATGTTGATAGTTTAATATCAAACAGTACTACATATAAACAAGGGAGATAATAACAAACTTTATTTACCTCACAAACAAGGTCAAGGTCATAGAAAGATGGCTGACCACAAGCAATGAAGATGACTCTGCACATTTTACCCTCACCAGGGTTAAGATAGCCTCTTACAGGTGCAATTGATAGATACTGAAAAACAAAATGATGGAATAAAATCTTAACTTTCATACATCACAAAATGACTATAAAATTTGAGCTATAAGAATATACCCCAGGGTCTAAACCAGGAGTATATACAAGGTCCATTCAGTTTTCATTAGTTTATTATATACAAGTTTTATACCTGAAATATACATAGGGTATAATCAAGGAGATTGTCAAATTTTGGAAAATCTGATTTGATAAACACTCAAATTATTACTTAAAACTAAAATTCATGACATATATTATTTTAATGTTGACAGGTTTTCTATTTGTCAACATGCTTTCTATATATCCACAAGTTTTTTGGTATTCTAAGTGTCGAAAGGCTTTTCTATAAGTTCACAGACTTCCCTTTACCTATTACATAGGTCAACAGGTTTTCTGTTTGTCAACTGTTTGTCTACAGTTTTTCTATGGCTCTTTACTTTTAACAGATGCTAAAAATTCACAATTAGTTTTGAATTCGCTATAATTTTAGATAGAAAAAAAAACTTTTGGATAAAAAATAATATTTTATCTACATACCTTCCCTACCCAAACTAGCATGGGTTGCTAGTGGGGAAACAAAAGTTATTTTAAGGCTGGCCTAACAGATATATATACATACCTGACTATCAGATGGACATGTGACATGCCATTCAAATGAGACTGGTCTAGTTTTAGATCTGTTAGTGATGAACACCATTCTACGACCACGGCAGAATAACGGCAGGTTTCCAAATGATAGCCTCTCTTGGGACAAAAATGCAAGCTAAAATATAGACAGATATATGATTAAGTTAATCCAAGTGTTTTACAGGGCCAACATTCAATCTTTAAAAAAATTAAATACTAAATATATATCAAACAAAACTGAGAAATTAAGCATCTATTCTACTGTTTAACCAAATAAGTGCTTGTTGTCTCAATAGAGCTTTGCCACTAGAATGAGATCAAGCCATGTTGGTATCAAGTCAAGTTGGAACATCCTGAGGCATCTGTGCAGACCAAACACAATTGGCTGCTTGAAATCTCTAAACAAAAACTGACAGACAATTCAAAATAAAATCAAGGCCTTTCCTTACACAAATTTATTACATTATTATTACAGCAAAACCAAAACCAACTTTTGAATAATTAGAAATGTTTTGATTTGTACATATTTGATAAATAAGTTAAAAGTGATTGATTGTTTCTTTTTGCCCGGATATATAAAAGGTCATGTTAACCGGGATAATCAGTATGTAACAGTAGAAGTGTGTTTGTCCGACAATAGTTCTGGGTGAATATAAAAATAGATTTAACGATACATAAATCAGATATATAAACCGTACCTGTCCAGGAACTGGTACACTTTGCACACCGGGCACTCCGGTCAGATCTTGTTGATCGGTAAGCGGCATTGTATCTCCCATAATCCTCTTGTCATAACCAACGCCAGTAAACGTAACAATGGCAGTGTCACCATTATGTACGTGAATCGGAACATCCACCTGTATGCAATTATAGGACAAAATAAACTTTCTGCACTTCATAACATATTTGATTCTTTAAAAAAAGAGAACATTTCAATTTTTATTAATGACTTATGTAAAAACATAGCATTATGAAAAATATCAAAGTACTAGCCTTACAGAATGCAGTTTGTATGAAGTTCTTTATATATTGTTCAGGTACAAAAAAAGAGTAAAATAAACATACAATTTATTCATGAAATGGGCTCTTTACCTATACATGCAACAGTATTAACAATTAGTGAACAAAATAAATATGAAAATATTGAATAATGGTGTAATGCAATGTGACTTTTTTTCATAGTCTTTTCTTTCATTATCTGAAGAACAGGTTCATGTGTACTTAATGTTACCAAATTTAAAATTAAATATGAATTTCTTACCATGTAAGTTTTGGCCTCAATAGGTGAAAATCTCCATTCAATATTCAGGGTGCGGCCAGGTGGTATCTCCCCCACGGGATTCAAACATTCAAAGATGGGCTGATCAAAGTTCTCCTGCTTGATGAGCTCCATTGGTGTAAGATCAAACTGGTACCGGACCGGCACAGCACCTCCGTTGTACAACTCATATACCTGTTTATTACAATATTAAAAGGTAATATTACAATTTGTCATAAACCAGTATATGTTTAGCTATATTTTCTCACATGAATCTCAATCACAAATTTGTCCCGACAGAAGGAAAATCTTTATTGTTTACAAGTGTAATCTAGTGTCTATTCAAGGATTCGAAAAACAGGCGGGATTTTTATCGAAAAGTGAGAATTTGTTACATTTGTTGCTTTTTTTTCCCTTCAATTACAATGTAAAATTTTCTACTTGCCTCTGAAAAAAAATAGGGGGGGAATTCTCAAAAATATGAGTATATTCCCCTCATCCCCCCTCCTAGAATAGACACGGTAATCTTAGATGATATTGCTAATGTATGACATTAGGTTATAGTTGAATACATGAAATATCAGAAGGTATATAGTAAAAGGGTTATTTAAGATTATTTTGAATCTTATGCTAACAATTTTATTTTGTTTCATGAATTTCACTCAAACAAATCAAATTAAACATTTTTTTTCGCAACAAAAAGATGAAGCACCTGCTTACACAAATGTCTTTGCTCTCACTGAGGATAGGAACAGGGGCTTACTGGAAGCAATATGGAACTTGAGCTCAGTTGTGAAAAGAACTAATAGCTTATTTGATTCATTCTCAGGCTCAAGTACACCCTTGTGGAACAACTGACCTTCCGTATGTCCCTATTAAGATTTAAGCCCTCTGAGGTGTTGGGAAACTGATTCAAGGTCTACGACTTAGACATGTCAACCTTGTATCCCCTTTTAATTCATCTGGACAAAATCATTTCATACCCAGCCTTCATTTTATGTACCAAAGACATTTGTTGTTGTTTTTTATTGTCTTTTTTGGTTTTAATGCCAATTTTCCGTCATATATCAGCGGTGTTTGCCAATTTTTGGTCATATATAAGCGGTAAGTCCACTTAACCAGCTGTCCTGGGTAACTAACCAGTAATTACCACTTTCCCTGCAAGTGAGCCACTACTTATCCCACATGAATACAAATCAATGCTTTCTCTATATCAAGCTAAGCGGGTGGACACCAACCCGTTAAAAACGTAGTAGAAACAATACCTGTTTAGGGCTGATCTTCTCTCCTACAGGAACTGGTGTAAACATATGTTTACTGGACGGGAAATGAATATATCTCCTCTCTGGTTCTACTGTCACACCGATAAAATTCAGCTGTAAACAAAAAATAGAGAATATATTTGAAGTTTTTTTGTATTCCATAAATCACACCAACACAGTAAAGCTGATATGGAGATTTATAAGCTTAAATGGTGGAGGTAGACATCAGATGTTCCTTGGTACATTATTTCGGTCATTAGCTAGCACCGAAGTAAAACTACCAACCTTCCTTAAGCTATATGGATCATGGAGATTTGATAAACACACTTAATGAAACTTCATATAACAGAAATAAAATAAAGTTTGAAAACACTGACTTTGCCTACCAGATGAAACCACTCGCATATTCTACACCCATTACAACCTTAGATTTTTTTATTCATTATCAGAAAAAAAGATGTATTTTTAATTGGCAATATGACAAAAGATCACCTGCATGTTTCTAATTGGCAGAAAAAAAAAACGAAAAACAAAAACACAAATTTTTACCACCTATCTCCAGTGCAATGATAACAATACAAGGGAGATAAGCACACATTATCACGACTATCATTATATACATACCAGGATTTCTCTGCCCCTGGCTAATTTAAGGAGCACAGGCAGTCTATCAGTACCAGCCATCGTATGTCTGTACTGGAAGGTGACCGTACCACACTCGCCTGGTTGTAACTGGCCTTTCTTTGGCTCAATTGTGAACAGATTATTATCCATAACTTTCATCTGTAAAACACGAGAGAATATTGTTCAGTATATCTTAAGCAAAAAACCAGTCAGATTTGTTTGATTTTTAGTGACTTAATTTTATCTTTTCCGTAAAACATTGATATATAAAACAGTTTAATACAAAGAAAGTCAACCAATGTGTTAAGTAAAATTATATCAATTCTAAATAGAATGAACATTATTTATCCTTGACATTTTTGCCAAAATTCTAAATACATTATTGATTTTTGATATTTTTGCCATGTAAGATTAAAGTTATGTATCAAAATAAGATCTCAACATAATATATAAAAGTTTTCTATTAAAAGAAAAATTTGAAGTTAAAATATTGACGTTAGATATCAAAGTAAGATATCAAAGCATCAAAGTAAGACATGAAAGTAAGGTATCAAAGCAAGATATCAAACAAAACACCAACAAATTATGAATTATTTTTTATACAAAATTTGAATACTTTTGTTCTAAAAGGGTTTATTTTAGGGGTAAAAAAAGAAAAATCTAACAAGAACAATGTTTATTTTTGAATCTCTGAGTTAGTCCTTTAACAACATACCTCGTGTAATTCATCCTCATCAAATTCCCCTGTCTCTGCCCAGTACTCTAACTCCATGTGCAGATCAGATGGGAACAAAAACGCCCTGAAATATACAATCAAAAATTTGTCAAATTTGGAAAATAAATCTGCCTCTGTCATATCAGAAACTAAACTGATATAAAACAAGCGAAGGTGACTCTATGAGCGCCGGAAATTTACTGAAGTTAACAATGACATCTAAAAATTTGATCAGGAAATATAACAAATTATATATTTTTATTTTCATCAACTTACCATTCAGTAGCAACAGTTCCTGTGTTTTCAAACATTAGGCTGACAATACATGGTTCACTGCCGAGTGGTGCGGCACTGAAGTTAAAGTCCATGATGGCCCTTGTGTACACCGGAGGTCGTCGTTGGTGACTGTGTCTCGTCTGTACGCTGTACATCAACTCACGGGCAGACGGGTCGTTGTCCAGACAAACATTTAGACTGGAAATAAACAAAAATCATAAGTTGTTATTCATAATGAGCAAAAAACAATACTGCAAAATTATTATTTGTGGGGCACTAATTTTCGTGATTTTCATGGATAGGTCAATCAACGATTTTAAGATCCTACAAATTTTATTTCGTCTGCTGTTCTCTTCATGTTTAAAATTCAGTTCAATTTGTAAAGGTTAAATGATTTTTATTAAAGATAATACTGATTTTCAAGTAGCACAGAAACTTCTCAGTTTATGGGGTTTTTTTTCGATTTTTTTTTTAGAATCCTGTAGTTTTTCCAAATATATAAGCACCAACCAGCTTTTTTACTTCCCAATTAGCAATTAAGCAACAAATTTTCCCAAAATCAAGAGGCTTGGGCCTCCTTCCAATTAAGTAAGAAACACACTGAACAATTAGTGAACACAATTCTACAGGAAATAACAAAATAATACAAATTATTTTAATATTAAAATAATTTCATTTATTTTATTAAGAAAACATCGTCTGCTGTAAATATAAGTCGTCTGCTATACTGCCCCGTCAGCTTTATAAATCGTCTGCTATATTTTGTTGATACACAATTTACCTGGTTACGCTCGATAGTTTTTTCTTACTCGAGCATAACGTGTACCCGGTATGGTATATATAAGGCAAAACCCGTGCAGAAACTCACTCTTTACACGTCTGCAGTACAGATTGACTGGTTTAAAACATTTATCTGCTATCTACATTGTCAAATTATGCCACGTGGCCGCGGATGCGTACGTCCACAAAGACTGTCGCGGAACAACACCGCCAGACAGCCCGAGCCAGCAAGGAGCGCAACAAGGAGCCAACAACCTTCAAACAGAGGGAGGAAACGAACGGCAGAGGTCCCGTTGGAAGATTTTGTTGATGAGAGGGTGTCGCAAACGAACGCTGGTGAGTCAAACGTAGTAGATTTTGAGCAGATAATAAGGGCTTCGAATATTATTCCACAAAATTTGCCCGATAACGTTGGTTCTGCTGCAAATAATGTTTCTACGGGGTGTGGCAATATGTTACAATCTGTGGGTTTAGATAGTTCTACTGCGAATCATTCCAACGATATTTTAAATGTTTTGCCTGGAATACGTTTAGCCGATGATGATTTGGCGGCGCACGTGCCAACATCTCTTAAACAAAAAATTTGTAGAGGTGAATATGTAAATTTGATGTTATTATTGAAAGGGGCAGTCGAGCTTTCAGAATTTTGTAAAGGGACGGTGTTTAAGTTAGATAGTGAAGGTCACATAGAATCCGCTCAAAAAGAATGTAAAGAGCAGATCAATTGCATTGAGAAATGGACAAACGCATTTATTATATATGCGTCCATTTATTTATCATCACACGCTGACAAAATCTATGAAATTTTGCATTATATGTTTAATATCAGAGATTGTGCCTCGCGCCAGGGTGGTCTTTCATGGAGGACTTACGACGAGCAATTTCGTCTAAGACAGGCTATTGCTCCTCAATCATGGTCGAAAATAAACAATGAGTTATGGTGGCGCTGTGTACAAGTCAGACCAGTTTTACGTGACCAATCTAATCCTTATAGGTTTACGTGTAATGACTTTAATGCGGGAAAATGTTCTTGGCCGAATTGCCGTTTTTCCCATGTTTGTGCCACGTGTTTTGCTCCCCACCCAGCAATCAACTGTCAAACTTCAAATTCTTCAAACAAACAAAGCTTGACGAGCGGTCAATCTCAGTCGTCATTTCAAAACTCTCGGAGCAGACATTTTCAGCCACAACGGGCTAAAAGTGGACGGGGCTATTACAAAAAGTAAAATAAATAAAAGTCCGGTCATTTCATTTTCTGACACTAATGTTAACTCATTCGCTTTGGCAAAATCTCCTGTAAACGTTGAGGCTTTAAAGTTCTATTTAAAAGGATATAATGAGAAAGAAGCAAAATTCTTATTAGACGGTTTTATCAATGGCTTTCCAATTCAATACACAGGGCCACGTGTTGCACGTGAGTCAAAAAATTTACGGTCATCTCTATTAAGGCCTGATTTAATTAAAGAGCAAATAGAGAAAGAGAGAAATGCAGGAAGAGTTGCTGCCCTTTGGACGAACGCCCTCTTCCAAATTTAATTGTGTCTCCGATCGGTTTAGTACCAAAGAAAATACCGGGAGAATTCAGGATGATCCATCATTTAACATATCCCTCCCGTAAATCTATTAAAGACTTTATTGATCCAAGTTTATGTTCAGTCCAATACACAAGTTTTGATGAAGCAGTTAAAATGATTCAAGAATTAGGTCAACATTGCAAATTGTTTAAATCAGCTATCAAGAGCGCCTACCACTTAATACCAATATCCCGGAAGGATTTTGAGCTACTTGGTTTTTGTTTTGATAATAAATATTATTTTGACAAAGCGCTCCCTTTCGGTGCTTCAGTGAGCTGTATTACTTTTGAAAGATTTTCAAGATTTTTAAAATATAGTGTTAAATCGAAATTTACGTCAGCTAAATTGATACATTATTTAGATGAATTTCTTGGGGGTGACAAGACATCAGAATCATGCAGTCAGGCATTAAAAATCTTTCAAAACACAATGACAGAGCTTGGAGTGTCTTTAGCATCGGAGAAAACAGAAGGCCCGACTAAGGTATTGGTCTTTTTACGTTTAGAGCTTGACACAAACCAAATGACAACCAGAATCCTGTCAGAAAAAATAGAGGAGATCAAAGTAAAAATTATTGATGTGTGATCACACTCTAAATCAACTCTTAAAAAGATACAATCTTTAATTGGTTCGCTCCATTTTTGTTGTAGAGCTATTGTTATGGGTCGCCCTTTCATTAGACGTTTAATTAATTCAATTTGAGGGCTGACAAAGTTGTATCACCTCGTAAGATTAAAGAAAGAGGTTCGACGGTATTTGAACATATGGCTTTTATTTTTAAAGAAATATAATGGCGTGTCTGTGTTTCATGACAAATTTTGGGTTTCAAAAGAAGATGTAGAATTGTTTTCGGACAGCGCCGGTGGTGACAATTGTGGTTTCGGAATTTACTTTCAAGTTCATTGGTGCCAAGGGAAATGGCCAGAAGATTGGCACTCACACGGTCTTACGGCCGATATCACTGTTTTGGAGTTATTCCCAATTGTTGTGGCAATATTTATTTTTGGTTCTAAATTGATAAATAAAAAAATAAGATTTAACTGCGATAACATGGCAGTGGTAGACATTTTGAATAAGGCTTCGTCTAGGTCTGAAACAGTAATGTGTCTTGTAAGACTTCTTGTATTGCATTGTATGAAACTTAATATTTTATTGAAAGCAGTTCATGTCCCAGGTCGTTATAATGTAATTTGTGATGCATTGTCACGTTTTCAGTTGAAAAAATTCAGAGAATTAGCTCCGGAAGCAGATCAGCAACCTCACCCAGTCCCAGAATTCCTCTGGAGCGTCTTCGATTTAGAGCTCGAACATTGTTACAAGGTGGATTAGCGCCAAATACTAGATCAACATACGATACAGCGTTGAACGCTTTTCGGATATTTCTATCCGAATATAATCTGTCATTACAATGGCCAATTTCAATTCAGAATATTGTCTTTTTTATTTCGTATTGTTTTGAGAGGGGCATGGCTTCAAAAACTATAACCACATATGTTGCCGGCTTGAATTATTTTCATAAACTTTCTGGTTTTTACGATATATCAAAAATATTCATGGTTAGCAAACTGCTTGAAGGTTGCAAAAAATCTCGTAAATCACATGATAATCGGGCTCCGATAACAAAACAGGTTTTGAAAATTTTATGTGACATGTTACCATTATGTTGCTACAATGCTTACGAGACTAGATTATTTACCACATTATTTATATTCGCATATTTTGGTTTATTTCGCATAAGTGAGCTGGTCGTTCCAAAAGTACTGGAAAGTCGGGACGTACTATGGAATTCGGACATATCAATTATAGATAATAGCAAGGTGCTTATTTGTCTCCGTCATTCAAAAAATAATAAAACCGGTGTTCCGGTATATCTAAAATTGCCTAAAGAAATGGACAATTTATGTCCAGTAAATGCCTTATCTAATTTCCTTTCTATGCGACCTAAAACACAGGGCCCTCTATTCATTCATAACGATAGTTCACCAGTAACGAGAACTCAATTTTCAGCAGTTTTGTCGAAATGCGTTTTAAGAGCCCGCTTGTCATTTGGATGTTGTTACAAAACTCATAGTTTTAGAATTGGCAGAGCTACTGATCTCGCCATTATGGGCGTTCCTGCAAAAGCTATAATGAAAGCCGGTAGATGGAATAGCGATTGTTACAAATTGTACATTAGATAAAAATATATATATATATCATTTGATAAAAAAAATAACTTTTCATAAGCTATTTCGGGCAGTTTGTATTTTGATTTCAAGACATGTTTATTCTATATTTAGACATCTGGGTCATCGGGGACTCGATCCCGTACTGGGCAGGCAATCATGCAATACAAACTGGGAAGAAAAATTTGAGACTACCAGGACAAACAATTGCATGGCTAGGGGTTCGAGGTCTGCGATGGTCCACACTTCGACGGGAAATTGAAGCTAAGGTTCTCCTATCACCTGCTCCATCGTTAATACTTATTCATTTAGGTGGTAATGATTTAGTTCACTCTCATGCCTATAATATTAAAGGGACAATACAGGATGAAGTATCTTACCTTCACGACGCATTTCCGTCCGCTTGCATTATTTGGATTGACATTTTACCCAGAAGAGTGTGGGGGAAATTTGATAACAAGTCTATGAATCTTAAACGTAAAAGAGTAAATCGTTTAGGTCGACACATAGTTAGTTCCCTAAGTAAGTTTGATATTGTCAAACCAGATATTGACATTGAAACGGCGTTTTATCGTGAGGACGAAAATGGCCCAAAACTGACGGAAAATAAAAACTACAGAAAAACTATATGTTGTGTTTTGTTTTTAATCAACATCATCAATTAAATACAGAAATTGATTTTCTTCCATAAAAATCATCGTATAAAGTGATTTTTATGATTTTTGTTTGAACCCTGTTCTTGCCAAAATGGCCAAAATGGCAATATTTAAGTGCTATGATGGGGAATTTTTCAGTGTCCCAGTATGAGCGCACGTTTGTTCCACCTTTATTTCAGCTGAAATCGATTTGTTGATCAATTATCTTTAAATAAATAATAGTTATTTTGTGGAACACGCGTGCGCTCATATTATAAAATGAGAAAGTGTGAAGACCCTTTGTTATTTATCAAAGGCCACATATCGATTTAAAAACCAATATTACCTATCATTTTCTTAACAAATAACGTTATTAAGGTGATTCCGCTTTGTCAGCCATGTTTGTTTTCACAAAGTCTGTCCAAAGTGAAAGTAGGCCAAAATTCATATAACAACAAAGCTCTTATTTTAAAATGATGAACCATTTGAAAGTACACTTCCAGGTTTATATTTTAAGGACAATTATAAACAAAAATAAAAATGATAACAATAAGAATATTTACCTTGAATGTGCTACATTTCTGAAGACCAAAAACATTCTGTTGCAAAGTTTTATGCACATTTCATGAATGGCAAAATCCTTTTTTAAGTCTGTTTTAGTGCCTACAAAAGCTATTTTTTGCAGCAAATACAAAAATCTTTCAAAACTTAACTCCAAATAAATCCATATCTCATGTCCTTCTAAGCACATGGCCTCCATTATTTTTTGTAAAAAAGTAGTGCAAGAAAACAATCATCATTTATAGCCTTATGAACTACAATTAAAATGAAAACACAATCAAACTTTAAAATCTAACCTTTTTTATGTGTAACAGTGAAGTGTGTCTGTTTGTCATGTACACAAGAGATAGATAAATGATGTTTATTTTCATGGTACTACTTTTTTACACATGTCATGGTGGCCATGTTTTTTCAAGGTCAGATAAACTACTTTCCTAAGGTTTATATTTTTTAAAGTTTTTTGTATTTTCTGCAAAAAGTAGCTTTTGTAGGCACTAAAACAGACTTTAAAAAGGATTTTGCCATTCATGAAATGTGCATAAAACTTTGCAACAGAATGTTTTTGGTCTTCAGAAATGTAGCACATTCAAGGTAATTTTTCTTATTGTTATCATTTTTATTTTTGTTTAAAATAGTCTTTAAAACATAGAACTGGAAGTGTACTTGCAAATGGCTCATCATATAACAATGTGAGCTTTGTTGTTATATGAATTTTGGCCTACTTTCACTTTGGACCCACATAGTGAAAACAAACATGGCTGACAAAGCAGAATCACCTTAATAAGCAAATTGTATAAAAAAAACATTTAAAAGAGATATTTCAAAGTGAATGCGAACCTTTGGAATCACAAAAAAAACAACAAACGATTATCATTTATTAACGCGACGTTTTGGAACGAATTGCAGTGGGTACGAAACACAGCGCTGGTAATGTAAACAACACGACATAGAGACCGCAATACATCGATTTTTTCAGGTATTTGTTTCCCTGTAAAAGAAATTATGTTATATGCTCTTACAATAAAACACTACTGTTTTATTATTACTTTATTTTACTTAATTTAGATCTTAAATACCTTTGAATTTTAAAAAAAATCGTATGCCGAATGATGATTGAGAAACAAGTCGAATAGAAATAGCATCAACGACGGTGAATTTTAGCTAGAACTGTCCTTTAGTAGAGTGTATATTTAGAAACAGTTAAAGTAAAAATCAGAAATTGTATACATATGTAAATAGTAAGTTTCAATCAATTAAATTATGTAAATGTTATAAAGTGTGATCGTCTGCATTTAAAATTTCTTACTCGATTAATTTTATATCGATAAAACTGTTCCGCGCTATTGTGAAAGTCGCCGTGGTAAAGAGGAAGAAGCGATGGATTCACACGCGGGAGATCTGGGTTCGATTCCAACTATCGACATTTTTTTTTTTGCAAAATATTTTTTTTTACAAGATATATAGGCCTATATTATAGAAATGTTTTAAATGATATGAAACAATATAACTCGTAAGTATGAAAATCCCTTCAAAATATACAAGACTTGAATAATTGTGTTTTTTTCAGGATGGTTAAACATTATGAATGCGTTGTCTGTAAAAAAAGAATAAAACCCTCTGAAAGACGTCCCATTCCTGACAAAGCAAAGAAGATACTGAGAAAGATTATATCTGTTCTTCCCTGTGATGATGCATAATATGCCCTTTATGCAGGACAAAACTTTACCGGAGTAGGCAAAAGAGAGGAAATCCCTGTCAGTGTATAACAGCCGTCTACAAGTCAGCTTATCAGTCCTCCATCGGTAAGTTTTTTTTTCATGTACTTAATAAATTTCATTACAATTTTGAAAACATTAGATAAGAATTAATCATTACCTAGATGATTTTTTTTTCTACAAATGAAAAAGTTTTATTTAAATATTAAACATGATGTACGTAATATTAATTTAAAACAAATGACAGTAAGTTTGAGACAATTTGTGTTCTTTCATTGTACGTAACTTCATTAAATATGTAAACTTTCATTTATGATAGATCTTGATGGTTTTGTAGAATTGGCGATTAACCCTTACCACGCTAAACATTTCGAATGGACTTGTCAATCTTTAAATCTGGACAAAACCATTGATCATTTTTGGGGGAAAAATTAAAATATTTTCTGAATGAATAGCGAACAGTGCAGACCATGATCGGGCGACATGGATGTGCCGGTTGATCTTGGTCTGCACTGGTCGCATGGGTAGATTCTGTTGCAGACAGCAGGCTAGAGGTAAATATTGAAATAATTTACTATTTTAGGTAGTTCTTAAAATCCCATCAACAAGCAGGAGCCATTCAAGATGTTTTGTCTGCAAAAAAGCTGGTCCAAAACTTGTTCGCCTGGGTTCAGAGTGTCGACTTCAAGCATTTCTACAGCACAATATCATAGTTCATTCAGATGCCAGATGTTGTCCAGTACACGTTTCAGATAAAACGCTAAAGATAGATTCTGTGGAAGTCATTGATCACCTCAACGCATCTTCATATCTGAACAGGTCATCTATTTCTAATCTCCTTCAAAATATGCGATCTTTATGCATTCAACAGAATTCTTCCCTGAACTTTGACACTCTTCAAGAAGCAGACTACTCTTCACTTACAGGACTTTCAAAACCACAATTTAATGATCTCTTCTCACACATCAATGATAAGATAAAATCAACACCGTCACGATCACCTAGAACAACTGTTGGACTGTTTCTCCTTAAGTTAAAGTCAGGCATTTCTAACAGGCTTCTTTCAACCATCTTCAGCCTTTCAAAGTCAAGTGTCAGACGTGCCATTGCCACTGTAAGAGAGGCCCTGATGAGAAGTTTCGTGCCGCTCTACCTTGGATTTGAGAGTGTGACAAGGGAATCAATACTATGCAACCATACACGACAGTTAGCTAAATCCCTATTTTGTTCTTCTTCTGATAAAATTGTTTTGGTTCTTGATGGCACATACATTTACATCAATAAATCGAACAATTACAAGTTTCAAAGAAGAACATACAGTCTTCACAAAGGTCGACCTCTCGTAAAGCCAATGGTCATTGTTACAACCACAGGACATTTCGTGAATATAATTGGTCCCTACCTTGCTGATGGAAAGAACAATGATGCAGCCATCCTTAACCACATCCTCAAGTCAAACATAGATGATGTGAAGGATTTCCTTGAAGAAGGAGATGTGCTGGTAGTGGATCGCGGGTTCAGGGACTCTCTAGAGCTACTGGAAGACTTAGGCATACATGCAAAGATGCCAGCATTAATGACAAAGGGACAGAAGCAGCTTCAATCTGATGAGGCAAACGAAAGTCGTTTAGTCACTAAGGTAAGGTATTGACTATTAAATACTTTTAAATACATTTGTATATAAATATTCCTGAAATATGTAATATATTTAGAAATATACATCATAACATGTATACAGTCAAACATGTGAACAAAGACTATCTAGTGAGAGACATGGTCTTTATAGACGAGTTGTCGTTATGTAGAGGTAACTCAGCTTTTTTAACCAGTAAAGGTTGTAAAAGCCTTTATTTTCAGGGTGATCTTTTTTATATTAATTTCTAACACAGGTTTAACTGTATATGGATGAAAATGAAATGCGAGTTTGAATATTGTTTTCAAAACTGGTAAATATTAATGCAATTTATCCACGAAATTAAACGGAGTAGTATTAAAATGTGATATGTTTCTTTTTTTCCATTGCAATCGGATATTCATAAAATAACTGTTATTTTATATTAACCGTGAATTAATTAAACAGTGAATTAATCTATCAATATTTAGGATAATTTACAATGGCTTCTTCGTGTTAAATGCAAAGTATAAATTAATCTAATTTTAATTTATTAAGGTGTATGACCTTTTTCATTTGTTTTGTCTATTTTCAGATAAGGTGGGTTGTTGAGTCAGCAAACGCGCGGATCAAGCGTTTCAAGTACTTAGACAATGTGATGCCAAATAGCCAAATACCATTCATTGGCGACTTTGTACGCATTGTTTGTTCCATCTCGAACAAATACTTTCCCCCACTAAGTAGCACTGACCAGTCAGAGAGTGATGTTGCTATGGCAGCAAAAATGGTAAGATTGTTAGAAAGGGAAAATGAGCTTCAGAAAAAAGTAGAGAGGACAGGTTTAGATAGAAAACAGACAGTGTGGAAGAATGTCGATGAAGAAGACATATATTTCCCAGTTCTAAACAGTGAACAACTGAGTGAGCTGACACTGGGAGTTTATCAATTGAGTCTGTCACCATCATACATTCAAGAACATTTAGACGGAGAGTTCGACATTAAAGGTAAAAAGTCACATAATGTATACATTTAAATATATATGTCCATATCAGCAAAATGAAAGGAAGGTTAGTCTTCTTTTATAAATTAAATGTATTATACACGGTAATGTCCTATCTTCTGTGTATCATATTTTGACTTAATATACCTGTTTTCAAATGACTTCTTAAAAAGTATGCTTTGTTAGTTATCTAGTTTAAAAATTATTATTTTGGTGCTCATTTATCAACTCACTTTTCATATATATTATTAGTTATAAAGTTTTTGACAGGTTATATGGCCCTATATAAACGGTTGTGTGTAAATATAACCCGAGCCGCTAGGCGATGGTTATATTGCAAACAACCGTTTATATAGGCCGTATACTTTGTCAGTAATATTTACATCGAATTTATAATACAGCAAGCATCATTTTTAGAGGAATAAAGCGAGATTTCTTTATAAATCTTCAGCAGCCGCGTATATAAAACTATATAAACGTCATGAGTAGTCAATGAAAAGCGACGTAACAAACGTGCAGTATTATAAAGAATCTAATAAAATCCCATCAAAACCTAAACAATTGATATTTAGACATTTATTTCTACAGTCAACACAGATGATCCAAAACTACTTTGTGTTAAGATTCAAAGCAGACACTCTTCTTCAAAAAGATAATAATTATATGCTATGAATTCAAGTAGAAAACGAGATAGTTGATGGATGGTATTGCACGTGCAGGTGTGGCTCAAGAGTCGATTGAATGTGTGCCCATATTGCTGCCATAGTATGGTATCTGTCCAACGGATGTCATAGCAGGAGAGAGAGTTATGATGTTTGCGATGCGGGTGTACACCTTTCAGACACTGCAGAATTTAAAATCGATGTGGCAATTGTCGAAACATCTGGCAGTGAGACAGACTGATATATCATATCTTGCCGACGTTTTTAGTTTTTAACGTCATTACCATAATACAATGCTGATACAACTTTCATTTTTATTAACTTTTTCATTTTTTTAAAGTAAATATCAAGCAGTATCATTACATTATTTATTTACACAGAGATAAAAACATGGTGTAAGAACTGATACCGACATTCTATCTTTATGGTGTAATGATGCTGAATAACAACTGTTAAATTTTTCACATATTTGTTCAATATATCTAATTCAATTGCTTGTGAAAAAGTTTCAAGCGAGATCATATAACTTTTCTTTAAAAAGTTGTCATATATTTTTGTAGCTTGTTGATTGTTGATATATATAATAATTGTTCAGATTCAAGAACAAATATTTGAGCCGTGTCACGACAAAACCAACATAATGGGTTTGCGACCAGCATGGATCCAAACCAGCCTGCGCATCCGCGCAGTCTGATCAGGATCCATGCTGTTCGCTTACCAACCCTATTACAAGTAGAGAAACTAATCGCGAACAGCATGGACCCTGATCAGACTGCGCAGATGCGCAGGCTGGTCTGGATCCATGCTGGTTACAAACCCATATTGTTGGTTTTGTCGTGACACGGCTCATTTAAATATCGATTTTATTTTCTTACCCTTTTATTTAAAAAGCAATGTTCACATTAATCATTCTGTTATTAACGCTATGTTTGTATTTTACTTTGCGAGCATCATAACCAAATATTTTTTTTTTATTCATTATGTTTATATTTATTATGTTAGATATGTGATATTTATGAATATTATACTTATTGACTATTCCTGCAACTAGTTTTATTTATTTCGTTATCAATTCTTCTTAAGTAATTTTGTAAATCTAATGGTCATTCAATTCATATTCAAATTTTAAAAGCGCAAAATTTATATTTTTCAAGAAATAACATGTGTATTTCACCCCTTAAAATATGATAATAAACAAAACTCCAAAATTGTCCGAATTTTGTATATCCGAAAATTGGTCAACTGCGTAAAAAATGCTTAATTCCTGGAAAACATTTAATTAATACAGTAAATTTCATAAAAGCTAATTAGTTGGGTATGGATTATTCTTAATGGGAAAATAAACATTAAATATAGTAGACGTTATTTTTATTTTGAGAGATCAATAAACGTTTGATTCTAATATTAACTGGATTAATGGGCGTTAATGATTTAGAGAAAATTTTGACGTTATCGTTAAGAATTTTTGTTAAAAAATGTTTCTTTCATCAACTAGATATATTGAACCTCTAAGTAAAATGTTTTTCATCTATTTCTGAGGTTGGGCCATTTTCGTTGGTTAGTGAACCTAGCTCTTTAGTTGGTCTAGAGTTCTATCTTGACTATTTAAGAGATGCTATGCTAAAAAATCTGTAATGGAATTTTTGGGTGATAAATTCGTTGAATTTATTGTGGCGGAAAAATTCTGTCGATTGAGGGGTAGGCAGGCCTCGCAATTTAATGTATTCGCAATTCATGTTTTTCGAATATTTTAGCTGGTTAGGGTCACCTTGTTTTTGGGCTGGTCTAATCGCCTAAAGATAGGAACCTTGACCTTGTAGGTTAAATTTTAAATGCTCACACGGTACTTTCTAATTATTATACGGTCTAACAGTAATTGTGTTGACTCGTTAATAGGTTTTGCCCTTAGTACTCGGCAATTCCTAACTAGCCTTGCTTTATTGCCTTGCATTGCATTGCCTTGCATTGTACAGCCTTTGCGGTTGCTGTTTAACATTAACTCGAATTGTGGAACCATTCATCTCTTGGTCTAATCATTGGTGAGTGTTTTATTGTTCGTCGTTAATGGTACCGATGCTTGCGGTAGTATGTTACCAGTGGTATATACATGTAGGTTGCCGTTAATATTAGAAGTACAAAAACAATAGAAATGTTAAAAATGAAGTCAATTACGCAATTTTTATTTGTGTACAGTTGCGTACAGTTTTGTCGAGTTGTGTACAGTTGTGTACAGTTTGTAGAAAATACTGCCTCCCTTCGGTCGTCGGAATTTTTTCTCACAAGACTCGACATGGTCAAATCTGTCTTGTCTCGAGCGGCCAAATTATCCAACCAATAGTTTTTCGTATAATTCAAAAGTTTTTCATCTGTGTATATGTGATGAAGTTTCTTTTCACGTAGACTTATTAAAAGAATTATTAGTAATTTGATATTGTGTTTGTGTTTCATTTTCGAATATTTAAATAATACAAATTATTTTAATATTAAAATAATTTCATTTATTTTATTAAGAAAACATCGTCTGCTGTAAATATAAGTCGTCTGCTATACTGCCCCGTCAGCTTTATAAATCGTCTGCTATATTTTGTTGATACACAATTTACCTGGTTACGCTCGATAGTTTTTTCTTACTCGAGCATAACGTGTACCCGGAATGGTATATATAAGGCAAAACCCGTGCAGAAACTCACTCTTTACACGTCTGCAGTACAGATTGACTGGTTTAAAACATTTACCCGCCCGCCACACCCCATTTGCTTGATTATAAATAACTGTCATTTTATGAGTTATCATATCGATCATAAAGGTGACGTCACAGTTAAACATATTTTGGTAAACTGTATATAAGCCTGTGTTTGTCATTGTTTATTTGGATGTAGATACTGCTGTGACTTTTTATACTTTGCAGGCTGTTGTTACATGTTTTGTGGACTTCCAAGGAAAATAATTATGGGAGAATATGGCACTACATCTCAGACTATGGAGCCGCAAATACACACAAGGATATTATTGACGTGTGAAGTTAGTTATAATAATAATGTGTTAAATATGGTTAAAATAAAACGTGCCAGATATGTGTTAAAGATCACTGTAAATTCGGAAGTGCAGGACTTGTAGCGCGGTGTTAGTGGTATAAACTGTTGTGCTATAATTGTTGCTAAGTCTTCATGTCAGAGATTTTGATGAACTTTGTTGACATTTTAAACTGAAATAACATTCTCCAAATTATATTTTCCTTGGACGCATATAGTAATGCGATTGTAATTTTTGATGAGTTTTATCATTGTTTGGCCACATTTGGCCATTGACTCAATTTATTCTTTGTCGCTCTAAAGCGGAAAAATTCTGTCGATTGAGGGGTAGGCAGGCCTCGCAATTTAATGTATTCGCAATTCATGTTTTTCGAAATATTTTTAGCTGGTTAGGGTCACCTTGTTTTTGGGCTGGTCTAATCGCCTAAAAAGATAGGAACCTTGACCTTGTAGGTTAAATTTTAAATGCTCACACGGTACTTTTCTAATTATTATACGGTCTAACAGTAATTGTGTTGACTCGTAATAGGTTTTTGCCCTTAGTACTCGCAATTCCTAACTAGCCTTGCTTTATTGCCTTGCATTGCATTGCCTTGCATTGTACAGCCTTTGCGGTTGCTGTTTAACATTAACTCGAATTGTGGAACCATTCATCTCTTGGTCTAATCATTGGTGAGTGTTTTATTGTTCGTCGTTAATGGTACCGATGCTTGCGGTAGTATGTTACCAGTGGTATATACATGTAGGATGCCGTTAATATTAGAAGTACAAAAACAATAGAAATGTTAAAAATGAAGTCAATTATGCAATTTTTATTTGTGTACAGTTGCGTACAGTTTTGTCGAGTTGTGTACAGTTGTGTACAGTTTGTAGAAAATACTGCCTCCCTTCGGTCGTCGGAATTTTTTCTCACAAGACTCGACATGGTCAAATCTGTCTTGTCTCGAGCGGCCAAATTATCCAACCAATAGTTTTTCGTATAATTCAAAAGTTTTTCATCTGTGTATATGTGATGAAGTTTCTTTTCACGTAGACTTATTAAAAGAATTGTTAGTAATTTGATATTGTGTTTGTGTTTCATTTTCGAATATTTAAATAATTAGAATTTACATTGTACTTTAAACAATAACACTCACCTGTCAAGTGAGAACAATGACCAAAGTTGTTTCTTACTAATGCCCACAGCACTGCCGAAGCACCTGGCATCAGTGATGGACATTGTTGGGAATACACCTGTTGCTAGGATATGACATAAATGCTGTGGTTCTTGTGTAGAAACACTGTCTTTATCTGTAAAAAAAATATTTTGCTTTTACATTGAAAGACATTGAAGAAAGAAAGAAAATACAACTTTAAAATTTGTATTATTCTTTAAGTCTAGAAGATATTTTATAATGAAACCATAAAAAAGCCTTATTACAAAGATCAATCTTACAATACAGTACATTGTTTTGAAGTACTTCAGAAAGGCCGTATATAATCATCAGTGCGTTCGTGTATTTTAAATAAGTCTGTAAAATTTGAGTAGTAGCCAGAAGTAGCCACAGGAAGGTGTATTTATTTATCAAAGTAAGACGAAAGTAGCGGACAGGAAATTCTGCAAGAGCCTGCAATTTGGCAAGTCACTTGGGCTTTCCTGAAAGTACTGATAAAGTTAGGATATGGAGAGTGGTGGACAAGTGGTTTTGGTGTCTACCTCAAACCTAAGGATCATAAGTTTGAGCCCGGCTTACGCCATGACCATGCTTCCTCATATGACATCAGGACTGGTTAGTTCTAGGAAGTGAACTCAAAATTGATTCATATATTAGCTACAAACTTCCCTTCACGGCTGAACTTAAAACCTAAAATAATATTTCAACAAAAAGATAGGTTAAAAAAATATATATTATACCTTCTGGTGTGACCAGCTGGTAGGATATAGCAAACTGGTATGTGACACGTCGGACAGGTCTAACCATGGCTGAGATGACCTGTCTCGACCTTGCTGGTATTATACCCTCCATCCTGTCAAGTTCGAGCCCTGAAATGTACAGAGAGATCAAACAAATTAAAAACATTAGATGAATTAATATATTTATATCATTACTGATATAAAGTATATTTGATTAATTTAATAACATTAAAGCAATCTCCTGAGGTCAAAGAGCCTAATAACGTAAAATTTGAAAATCTCACATAAATCAAAAGAAGCAATTAAAATGGATATATCAGAAAATGATCATGAGTAACAAATATACTCAGAATTAAATTGAATATTGATTTTTTGTGAGATTCTTTACACAATATCAGTGAAAATGTGCAAAGCTTTTCATTTTTGTTTTATTTTGCACAAATAAAAATGACTTTTCTGAAAAAAAGGGGTGAGGGAATGATCAGAAAATTTGCACACAAGTTATTGATCATGACCTATATCCAATAGTGCACAAATCCAAGAAAAAAATATTTCCAGTCACATTACCTCAAAAAAAGTAAGTCGAGTCCCTTTAATTAATTAAATCACTTGACAGAAATGATTTCAGTTAGACTCTTACATATAATTAGATGAGCACAGTCTGAAGGGCAAATTTCAGGCCAACAAACTGCTCTCATTCTATTTTTTATGAAAAGTGTTTGTAAATATGAGCCGCATCACGACAAAACCAACATAATGGGTTTGCGACCAGCATGGATATTGACCAGCCTGCGCGTCAGCGCAGTCTGATCAGGATCCATGCTGTACGCTATCAGTTTCTCTACTTGTGATAGGGTTGGTAAGCGAACAGCATGAATCCTGATCAGACTGCGCGGATGCGCAGGCTGGTCTGGATCCATGCTGGTCGCACACACACTTTGTTGGTTTTGTCGTAGCGCACCTCATATACTTACCAATCATATCAGATCTGGTCATCTCATCAGGGTATGGTCCATCTAGTGTCTGATCTATGGACAGTCTATAGTGTAAGCTACAGATACTGTTGTTGAACAATGTTATATGTTTCGACGCTGAACTACCCACGATTACATCACTAAAGTCAATGTATCCTTCCTCTGCCTGTAATAATACACACATAGTTGATGACTAGTTTTATTTGGGTTTTTTTAAAACAGATTTTGTTTGGTTTTTTAGACTGAGATAAAAACGCAGTGCTCCAGTGGTAACACTTTTGGTTGTTGTGTTTGATTAGGTTTTAGATTTCACCAACACAGTATAGGTCATATGGCGACGTTCCAGCTTTACTGGTGGAGGAAGACCTCAGACACGAACCAGTGGTAACACCGTTTGACTACAAAACAAGGGGAGGTACCCAAGTCTAACCACACCCCTGTCTTCCCCTCTCCTCCCACACTGCTTCTTATAAAATTGCTAACAAGTCTTTTGGATGAAACTTTAACAAAATAACATTGCTTTATACCTTGGATTGTAAAACTGCTGTTCCTCTTAAAATAGAGTATTTAAATATCCACTGCACTAGACTGCAAAAATTAAAATTTCTCAGTTTTCCTGATTCGACCACTAATAACAAATCATTAATGCTGTAAGCATTCAAATGGTCAGGAAAAAAATCTACTGTAAATAAGAACTTACTGCAAACTTTTTGTTATTTCTAACCATTAAAAATTATACAACATATATATAACTAGTACCTTAATGTCCCCAATAGAGCCCTCACCTACAGCTCTGACATCAAATTGTTTCTTCTTCCCGCCTGACGATGTCGAACTGAACCCTTGACCCCAGACAACCAATGCTGGTTTCATTAGGTATTTCTGCTCTTGTTTTGGAACAAAGGACCATAACTGAGACTGGAAATACAACATAAAGATAAAAATTATTTTAATATTTGCAGTTCCAAAGCATCTTTAAAAATTTTCCTACATGATTACGATATTTGTTACCAGCAGGTTTCAGTTAAAATTCTAAATATTCTTTAGATGAGCTTTATATATTATGAAGAATCTAATGTTTTCATATTAAATGTTTTAATAATCTAATGTTTTTGTATTAAATAATGTTATAATCTAATGTTTTCATATTGAATAATCTGATAATTTAATGTTTTTGTATTCATTTGAATAATCTAATGTTTTTGTGTTGAATAATCTAATGTTTTTGTGTTGAATAATCTAATGTTTTTGTGTTGAATAATCTAATGTTTTCGTATTGAATAATCTGATGTATTTTGTATTGAATATTATAATAATCTATTCAGTATTGTTTTCGTATTGAATAATCTAACATTTTGTATTGAGTAATCTAATGTTTACATATTGAATAATCTAATATTTTCGTATTGAATAATCTTATGTTTTCGTATTACAATTAACACTGTTTATTGTACTGGATTTATCTCCTACAATCTATCAATTAGAAATAGCAGAATTTTTTAATATCAAATTACAAAAACAGGGCACCCAACAGTATAATGCCTAGTGTGATTGCAGACTGGCACACAACAATTTAATCCAGGTGGAATAGACTGTGTCCGGTTATGAGTTATTGCCATTGGCATTCAAAGAGTTAATGACAAAAAATGATGATTTTTTTAATATTATACAAAATTAGACTAAAAAAACAAAACAAATTAAGACTGAGATTAGACAGAGAAACTAATTCATATATACCAGAAACTAATTTATATATACCTGACTTTCATTTGGTTGGATAATTCCAGACTCTGGATACACTGAGAGGAGATTCTTGTCAGCAAATCTCATCTTCCACTCATACCTGGATATAAAAATAGAACCAACCTTATTTGACACTAAAACAGAAATAAAATTCATCCGCCAAAAAAATAGTTTCTTTAGTTAAAACATTTTAAATTCATCCACCAAAAAAAATAGTTTCTTAACAGTAATAACATTTTGCATAGTAGAATCTACACAGATTTATATAGAACTTAATTACTAATAAATCCATGCAATTTATTTAATGAACTGTAACTGTTGTATAAATAATACATAAGCACTTCAAAAATATTGCTGTCAGAATTATGTCCCTTGTCTTACAACTGCATCTTGTCAAGATAAGAGAGTATTCCAAGTTTCATGTTGATATCTTTTGAAATGTTTGAATTAGGGGTTACATTAAAGTTTTTGCAGAACGACAACGCCATTGACGATTATTATAGCTCTTCTTCAAAACAGACGGGCTTAGAATGAGAGGTATAAAAGACTTTGGAAATAAAAATCATGAATGAAAAAAAACTGATTTCACTGTTCAGTTTTTCAATAAGTTTTGTTGTTGTTGTAGTTGCTATTTTTAGTAACTCAGACACTTTTAGGTCATATAGCTACTATTCAACTTGACAGGTGGAAAGAGGTCCGAAAAAGTCTGCTCTGTACTCACTATCAGGCACCATCAGGTACCAAACAAACACAAAAATTATTTATTCACTTGGAGATTTTCACATTGAAATACGGATATAATGTTTGTGAATAAAAAATACACCAATTTCAAAAGAGGCAAAAAAATAACAACAAATATTTCATATATATCATCATAAATACAAGGTGAATTAGCGTTACCTTAGTGGGATTCTGGATACATTTTTTATACTGTATGTACGTTTGGACGAGGTTCCTATACATGTTGGCTTAAAGAACATTTCTCCTTGTGTATCTAACAACACCAATGGTGCTTCTGCTGAACCAACTAACTTCAACTCCTGAATTATATAATCAAGTTTATATAGTTAATCATCATTTTTATGGAATAATACTAAATTTAAAATATTTCATGATCAGTAAATTATGTTGTAATTTCAATTAATTTAATTCCAAACATGTGTAAAATACAATTTTTTCGTTAAGTCCATCATCATCGTCATCATCATCATCTCCTTCTTCATCATCATCATCATCATCATCATCTCCTTCTTCATCATCATCATCATCATTATCATCATCTCCTTCTTCATCATCATCATCATCTTCTTCATCATCATCATCATCATCATCATCATCATCATCATCACCGTCCTCCTCATCATCATCATTATTAACACCATCATCATCATCATCATTACTGTCATCATCATTAAGTCATTTTCAACATCATCATTGTCATCCTCATAATCATCGTCACTATCATTACCTTCAACAACTTCACAAAGTTCATCATCAGTAATTCAAGAACTGATTCCTTTTGAATTAAAAACAACTAATAATTACATAAGTTCAAGATAATTTCACATTAAGTAAGACCTAGCTTAAAATTGAGATTTTTGTTATATAAACATATATAATTTTTCTTCTTCTTCGAGTCAACAAGTATTGAATCCCATTTATTGAAAAATTGTACATATATATACAATAAATATGGAAAACATATACATGTATACAATAATTTACCTTGTCGTATTTGTTGTTGTCATTCAGCCTCATTTTCATTTTGTGTTTGTACGTTTTTACCTCACTTGGGGAAATCTTCACCACGTAGATCTGCCTCTGACCTTTCATCAAAGCTTTAGCAGGTTTGATAGAAAATATCCTGAAAAATATACAACGTTTTTTATATTTTTCACAATAAAATCTTTAACAAATATATCAATTTTGTAAAGGCCTGTAAAGGGCCTTTCTCTATTAGGAAAAAATAACAGACTAAAATACAAAACTGGTGTAGGATAAAGCCTGAAGAAAAAAACAACAATATGACAACATTAAAAAAAAAAAATTAATATCCAGGCTAAAAATGCAGCAGGTTTTCACAGTATTTCAACCAATTATATGGATCGCCAATCTGTTAATAATGAAAAACCTGACTAATGAAAATCTTTAGCTGTAAAAGCCTGTTTTTCAAAACCCTTAACATGGCTTACTTTGAGGGATCTTTCTCCACGTCAAACAGTATCGGGGTGGTTCCTGTGTTAGTCATCAATATTGTCCGGTACGTTGACTCTTTAGCATTGACCGCCGGGAACACCAGGTTGTCCGAGTCCATCGTATATTTTGGTAGGAATGTCTCATTATTTGGCATAAATGTATGACCTAGAAATGAATTTTCAACATTTTGAAATGATGAGTCACTGACACATTATGAATAGCTCACAGGTTGCTGTTTTGAAGAAGTGATACAGTGATAAAATGCACTTCCCCCAAGATAAAATTACTAAAAAATACTTAGTTTGAGACATGTCAGAATTGTTTTCCCAACAAAAATAAAGCTTACGGCAGCTTTAAATCATTAAGTTTTCTTTTAACTCATTTCTTTTTTGTACTTATTGATGTAGGAAGATACCACATTAACAGAATCAAGCGTTGTATTATATGAGCCGTGTCATGACAAAACCAACATAATGGGCTTGCGACCAGCATGGATCCAGACCAGCCTGCGCATCCGCGCAGTCTGATCAGGATCCATTCTGTTCGCTTACTAACCCTATTACAAGTGAAGAAACTGATAGCGAACAGCATGGATCCTGATCAGACTGCGCGGATGCGCAGGCTGGTCTGGATCCATGCTGGTCGCAAACCCATTATGTTGGTTTTGTCATGACACGGCTCATATGGTCTAGATTTGTAAAAAAAAAATCTGGAATAAGTGTGATCCCCTGGTAGCATTTATCAAGACAAAATTACATGAAAATTACAGACTCGGTTTGATTGAGTCTGTACATGAGGAATAATGAATAATAAGAGTTTGTTTCACAGTTACCTGTACAGGAAAGTGTTATACACCATGGTGGGCAGTGAGTTGTGCTCTCTACTAGCTTGTAATCTCTTAGACTCTTGTAGAAAACGTAACATTCTAGTTCGCAGCCGAAAAACTGGTTTGGAGCATTCTGAAAAAACAATAAGCAGTTATATCAAAATGTGGAGTAACTTCTGACATTACAATATCTGTACATAATTTATAACAAGGAAACTGCAGTAAACTATTAAAAAATGAATAATAGTAGTAAGCATAGTTTCCTGGTGTATTTTCTAAAATGCAATGATATATAATCAGTTCAATGAAATTTGGCTTTCAACATTTAGTCTTCTTCAGAAAACAATTGATGTTAATAAAATACTGTTGTTTTTTTTTTTTTCTAAAGCAATTCAATTACTGTGAGAAATAAAATTCTTAGATATATATAATTTAAAGTAATGTTGAGCAATTACATTGGCTGAAAATGTTGGTTAAACATCCTAGCTTCTCGTCATTATTGTAATACCATTTACACAAAAAAATTTAAGATTTAAAACTTACTGGTTTAAATTTGACTTGGAATGCACATGATTTGAGAGGCGGGATATCGATGACCTCTGGTGTCACTGAAAATGTCTTCTCTGGTCCTGTAAATAATTAATGTATCATTAATTAATATACACTAATAAATATAAATTAATCATTCAACAAAAGAAAAATTATTAACTAAACATAGAGAATATAATGTGAAAAACAACTTAAACAAGGAATTTGTCTATAGGACAGAGATGCTCCCACATTCCATCATTATGCCAGTTTAAGGACACACAGCATAAAGAAGGACAGACTTACAAAGGGCAAAGCTATATGTCCCATCTCTTACCATCCCTCAACCAAGTGTGTGGGGGGGGGGGGCATAGAAATAAAAAATTCATCAAAAAATTTAAGCAGTAAACAAAAATTATTATTATCTTCATTTTAAATTCAAAATTAACTGACTCTGACAATGCCATATGTGTTACAGACTCGTTCTTTTTTTTTTCATTAAATAAAACGGAGTAGCATACAGAATAAAGTTTGCTTTGACTGCATTGCATGGCACTACACTGGTGCAATATGTCTGTAATTATCATCATTATTACAACCAATTAAACGGTCTAGTATCCGATGATCTATAAATACTTTCTTGTGTGTAAGCTTTTATTATATACTTGTAAATGAAATATTGAGAAATATTGATGAAATAAAATGCATATTTTCATTTTCTGTAAAAAAATATTTTTTTATTGCAGTGAAACATAATTTCTGTATTTTAACTGGTGCCTTGCCGGACTACTTTCTTCTAAATTCTGCCAGTGCACAAAATTTAACAGTTTCAAATTCTTTCAAATCGTAATGTCAAAATATAAAAATGTATATAATAAACAGAAATTTAAGTTTTTCCTATAAATACAGGATATATTTTCATCTTGTGTTATGAAAATTATCATATTTCATTTATGGCTACCGCCACTCATAAAATATTCATTTTCATACCACTCGATGAAAATAAATCCTGTATTTTGGGGAAAAAACCTTCAATAATCCTCTATATATTATTCAAAATATTCAAATAATAAAATCAATGTTTGTTATATTAATTGTTAATCAATAAGCTAAAAATAGATATAAATTTAACTACCTCCAATCCACTGAACCGTGACTTTTCCTTTCGTATGATTGGTCAAATTAAGAATCTTATCCTCGATAACACGCAAATTTTGACAATTACCAAAATCTAGGACGTTCACATCCAGACTTACATGTGGTACAAAATTCTGAAAGAGAAAAGACGTCTATGATTGAAAAAGTTAATTAATCATAAATTTGATAAAAAAAAAAACAAAAAAAAGAAAGAAAAACAAAAAACAACAAGGAAAACGATTACAGGTGACCTATATTAAATAAGAATGCGGCAAACACTAAACACTGTGTTGATAGAGACCAACAGTGATTTTTAAATGTTCTGCATATCAAGCTGAATTTTCTAGTGTTTGCACCAATGCTGGAAACATCATCTTATATCCATAACTGGTAAAATCTATGAACACCCAATTCTTAAATATGTAAAAAAAAAAAATATTTTATTATTGTATTTATCACATAACTAAAATAAGAACCAGTAACAGTAAAGAAGAATTTTTTTTTTCATTGATGCCCCTATATTGTAATCTTAACATCCACATGCACTTTTCATACCTTTAATGATGTCATGTTGCAACATTCACTTACTTTCATACAATAAATATAATATGCAAATAACGTCATGTTGCAAAGTTATCACACTACATGTACTAGTGTTTTATCACTTTTATTTAATGGCTTTATTATTACACTCCTACGCCATGCTTTATGTGAGTAAGGAGAAATAACACACTTACAATAACCTCAGAGTGGAAACCATCATTAAAATACTCGTCCATCGGAGCAAACTGGTGTAAAGGATGCTCAGCTGGGTTCTCTACGGTACCAATCTGTAAATAATTAAAATGATAATCAAATTATAATTACTGTCCCAATAATCAATGCTTTAATATTTAACCCTTTATTCCTGGTGGATAAGTAATCATCTAAGGATTGCTTTTGGGGTTTTGTCACTAATATATCCTATAATCTATATAAAACAGCAACAACAACAAAATACTCAAATAAGAATTGAAGGAAAAACAAGCTATTCAATACAGATTTTATCTAGCTCTTATTTTCTCTCTTTATAAAAAAAATATAGGAATTGCAGTAAAAAAAAAATCTAACTCAACCTACTCCCCAGTGCAAACATATAATTGTAAAATAAGATGCAGAAACTTGTTATGTCAATTATGAACATTTTATTTCAATTTTTTTTCACTTTTTGTATAATTAAAGGTGATAACCCATTAACCCCTAAATTCTAAATAATGGACTTGCCACACTATAAATTTGGATGTGTCCATTGTTCCTTAAAGGTAGGTCAGTATCAAATATGATACTAAGCAACAAACAGGATACAGCCTGAATGAACTGCATCAACACACCAGTGGTGACCAGTGTATATGTACATTTACTGGTGCATCAATTCATATGGCCACTTGCATTGAAGTATGGCCAAAAAAATATATTTATTATATACACATGTACAAATATACTGCAATAGCTGAAATGTTAAACAGTTGTTAAAAACTAAATTTGTTGTTAAGTCTTTGTGAACAAAAAAATATATATATGTCACTCCTGTGCTGCACTCAATTCTTCCCTGGACCATTCTAACATAGAAGTTTCAAAATATTTATCATGCATATTCCTTAATCTCAAATTTGAAATTTGTTTTTATAGTTTGTGGCTCTTTTCAAAATGTTGTTGTTTGTTTTTTTGTTGTGTTTTTGTAAGCCTGTACACTATATACGACTATTAAAAGCTGAAAATTGATTTATAAATTAATTTCATTGTTTAAAGATTGATAATTTCAAGTATTTAAAATCAACAGTATTTCTACTTAAACTCTTCGTTGACTTTTGTGTTTTGCTTCCTAGAACAAATGTATAATATAACCATTAACACTGAGGGTCTGCTTGTTCCTTTTATTACGCCGATTTTAACACCTTTTTGGCCATATCTCTGAGGTAAGTCAACTTAACTGGTTTTCCTGGATAACTAACCAGTAAATAACAATTTCTCTGCAACTGAAAGACTACTAATCCAAAAGAATCAGCAGTGAAAAAAAGCCCACACTGTCCCTGTTCCAGATAACCACTAATGAGTGTTGCCTGCAGATGGAATTCAAGGAAACAACATCTTATAGATCTAAATACGACAATTAAGTATGGGACTGATTTTAAATTTCAATGCTTTATCATTTCATTACAAAACAGAACTAATGAGTGTATGTGTATAAAGGAATCAGCGATACAATAATGTGTAACCAAACACACATATGCTCCGAAAACACGGTGAATACACAATATGCCAAAGAATACTTAATATGTGAAAAAACTGAAAAGTGTAGATATATATATATGGCAAAAGATATAAGAAGTGGGTGCATATAACACTCAAACACTGTTGATTGGTCACTCACCAACACACTACTATCTGGTGAACAGTGAGACTTTTTCGAATAATAACTGTTCTCAAAGCGTAAGCTTTCCAGTGGTGCTACTTCATAAGGTTCCTTCTGTTGAGGGGTTAAGCACCGAAAACAAATTAAAAATCACATGAAAAAGAGCCCAGTATCAAGACATAGTGGAAAATTGACTGTGATTCTTCAGTTGTACATTTTTACATAGGCAGGAGTAGGTAAAAGATGTATATAAAGATCAACTGAGATGGACGCTTGGAGATAATATGAAACATTCTGAGTCTGATTCCTGGAACTAACCAGTACTAGTATCAATTATGTGGAAACATGGTTGTGACCCATTTTAACCTATGACTCTTTGGCTTAGAGGCAACACCTTAACTTCAAAGCGACCATTCCCCGAAAGTTAGGTATCAAAAGAGGAGATAAAATGACAAAGAAAACAGGATTTTTTCAAATTTTTTTTACATTTTTTCTTAAAGGCTTCCTTTATTTACAAAAAAGGGTCACTGTTAAATTAACAGAAATAAGAAGTTGGAATTCTGAAATAAGTTATTCCTGGGGGGGGGGGGGATGTATGCCTGGAGTTGGATTACATTCCTTCATTTTTAATGAAGGTTTACTTGTCTAGCATGTAAAAAATGAAAATCAGAAAGAAAATCCCTACAACACTGCAAAACTTACTGGAAATATATATACTCAAAAATTTCTAAAAGCATTTAAACCAATTTTCTCTCCTTTACACACTTATATCAAACTTAAAAATTTACATATTATACCAAAACGATGGTTTTTAACAATTTTTAAACTACATACCACAGGTGCCATTAATGCCCCTGCATCATCAAGTTCAAGTCTCCCCTGCTGACGGAGCTCGTTCAGCTGTTCTGGCGGGAACACGGAGAAGCCGCGCTCTATGTGTGTACGATAATTATCTAGATGCTTGCTCTGTAACACTGCCGGTTTGACGAGCTCCGAGTGACATGTTCCCAACAAGTCAAGAAACAAAGGGCCCTGAATTAAGAAATTCATAAAGGTAAAAATAAGACTTCTTTTAAACTTCTTCTAATTCAACTAAAATGCATACTGGCTAAATCTATCTGCCATTAGAAAGTTTAGGAAAGTTTTAAAAGCCATTAGCACAGGGCCAGCAAAATCTGATTTTCACTTACTTGGTCATTTTTATCTGAAGCATTTCTTGACTTGTCAGATATTTATAAAGCAAATCTTGAAAAATTTCTAGTTGTCCATGAAGGCTGTTGGACAACCTGGGCAATACGGACAATTGGTTTTGCCGCCCCTGTCATTGCCCACCTAATCAGAATTATGCATTTAAACAAAAATAAGACCTACATTTAATCAACCCAAGTAGAAAATCAAAATGTATTCAAACAGTTTTTGCCAAACAAAAATCTCCAGTTCAAATGAGAAATTTTATTCTTATATTTTTTTGTCATTTTCAAATCGTTATCATAATTTAAAGATCAACTAACTTCAAGGTTATCTAACTTTTTTTCGAGCTTTGTCTCAAATCTCTGTGTTTTCATTGGTCAGTATACATTCTTTACATGCTTGTTTCTGGCCAATCAAATACAAGAGATCTCAACTTGAACTTAGAAAAAAAAATTTATAACCGAACGATTGGCTACTTCAATAACACTTATTATAGCATAAAATCGGCTATTTTTCCCTCTTTTGCCCATGTTATAACGGGGCCAAAACCATGCGTTAACATAGTCACGCGCTCTTGTTATAGCCCGGTTTTACCTATGCACAATACATACAGGGCCCAGAAAACAAACAAAAAATGACGATTTGGCCTGTTTGCCAGAGTCATGCGCTCTTGTTATATTGGAATTATTAATTCGAGGGCCTCAGTCGCATAACGGCGAGCAGCATTCAAGTAATTATGCCGGCAATACGGCGTATAGACATCACCGCTTATCTTGGTTGTCGCCCTTTCTTAGAAACGGACAGTTGTCAATGTAAACAAAAAGAATCTGTCATTCAGTTTAATCCCCCGATTAACTTACAAAAATGGAAATCGCAAAATGAATATAAGAAAACGTTGTTTTATTGACGTTTATATTGATAAATGTTCTGTATGTTTATTTGAGAGAATAATGTTTATGCCTGATTTTTTTTAAACTCGTGCGATTCTGAAATTGAATTTGATGTCACTGATCTTTTTCCTACCGCCAATCTGTAATCATTCTAGGAATTTCTGAGGCGCCTGTGTTGTCTTTGGTAGAGTAATGTTATGTTCTTCTTAAGTTAATATATCTCCAAAGTTAAACTTTGTTAAATCAATTAAAATTCGAAATTTCGTTCGGTTCTCAAGTTGTTGGCCCCGGAAAAAATAAAACGCATACGTAGAACATGTAGAGTTGGATAAATACCGTTCAAGCACAAGGATTTAATGTTTGTGTTTTATATATAATATACATCATGAATCTGTTTTAAAATTTTATGCTATAATAGCGTCAACGCACGTTTATTTCGTGTTATAACGTCTGCAGAGTCCCTCGGAACTGTTGGAACCCTCGCCCTACCGGGCTCGGGCACCAACCGTTCCTCGGGACTCTGCAGACGTTATGACACGGAAAAACGTGCATTAACCCTATATATATGGATATAGTTTGGCAAAGAAAATCAACAAACCTTATTATGTATGACACAAGCTACTCTTCTGTAGTAATTTATTGGATGCTGGGGAATGAACTTGAGAATCAATGTTCTTTTTTCATGAGCCTTCAACGTCCCTGCGGTCTGCTCAAACTTAAACACACTCTCGTTACAATCTATCATAAACTGAAAGAGAAAAAGAAATTGTTTTATCTCATGCTTTTCAACGAGCTAATAAATTGTTTGATCTCATGCTTTTCAAAATTCATCAGTGAGATCATAAGTCATATCACATTGTTTGAAACTTAGTGAAATACACAGTATATAATTACGTATCTCTTACATGTTTATTGTATGCATATTCAAAATGATATTTCTCGGTAGACAATATGTTTAAGTAAAATCAATGATGCCTTCAAAAAAATCCCATTCACTCCATATTAAAATCACATTTAAATTGCAGTCTATTACTGTATGTTACATTTAGAGGTCCAAAATCGAAGTCTTACACGCTACAAATGAATTGACTTCTAACATGTCTATCTATTTGAAAGGATTGTTATGAAACATTACAATATAAGCAACATGTATATATACCTGGTACTCAGCATCTATGTCTGAATTATTGATAAGGTCAATAGTTCGTGTGGCAACATCCCCAACATCTATCTGTAAAAAGTTGACTATTCTAGCACCAAGCTGTACTTCTGGGCCTGAAAACACAAAAATTACAATTCAATCAATCTTACATTATCATTTCCAACAATTTTTTAGAAGAAGGCCTTTTTTTCATAGGAAAGGCCACTTCCCCTTAATTTGAGGGAGCAAAAAGCATGGTATTTTAACAAAAAGGGAAGCAAACACATTCATGTTGTGAATAGAATTTTAGGGTAAAACTTCATGATGTCAAAGAATTTTTTCCTACGCAGAAGTGACCCTTAAACAGCCCCTGCTATAGAAGGAACAAAAAGTATCTCAAAAATTATTCTCTAGTTATATGAACAAGTAAATTCCTATTAATGAACTACCATTAACAACTAATTGTTAATTATAACAAGAGCTGTCGATAGGACAGCTTGCTTGACTATTCTCAATGCTACTACTCAGTGCTACAAGTGCCTTTAACATATAGATTTTCTTAAGTTTAAAAAGGTCCATAAATCTGTCAAAATCCATGTTAGAGTTATTAGCCTTTGACATTGACCTCCTATTACACTATTTATTAAATATGTGTGGTTTCAAACCATACCCTTCACTAGTTTTGCAATTACCAAATTGCACACAAAAACTAAACCAAAGTGTGATGCCAACACCTTGGCAAGTAAAATAGCTCTCCCTTTTTGTATTAATAGCCAAGCTAAAAAAATATCCTACCTTTTGATGAGCCCACACATTTGATGACACTTTTACTTATTTTGCCTATGGCTATCACATTGAAATAATCCACACTCACGACATCAACCATGTTCGGACTGTATGAAATCTGTACAATATTGAAAATAACATATATTATCTGTTAATAACATATTCTATTATGTATATTCAAAAAATTATGTTCTGTTAATTACACATTTTATTATTTACATCATCTTGCTATTACTGAACATATATATAATACTTCAACAATTAAAAAATCTTTTTATTACATATTCTATCAATTACAATTACATTGTCATTCTAAATATCAAATTCTGTTAATTACGTATTCTGTTTATTAAAAACTTGCTCTTTCTTAATCAATATTCTATATATCGAAAATTGCATTCTCTGTTAATTACATATTCTATTAAGTTCATTCTAAAATTATATTCTGTTAATTTCATATTCGTTTGATTCCATAATCTTACATAATTACATATTCTGTCACTTACATATTCTGTAAATTATATATTCTCATATTCTATTAACAGCAAAATGTTACAATTACTTAATCTCAAAAAAAAATATACTCTGTTAATTATATATTCAGTTAATTACAAAATTCTTGCTGCGCTGTATTACTATTACCTATAGATTATGTAATGACAACTTCATATTAAATCAATTACTTATTCTTTTATTACATATCATATTAATTACTTATTTTGTCCATTACATATTCTGGCAAATGCTCTCTGAATCTAATTGCTCACTAGTAACTTTTCTATACTTACAGGAATTTTTACTGAGGACATTGGTGGAACAATTCCCTGCATTTTTGGACATGTGAACACTGTATCGATACGACTAAGTGCTGATGGGTGCTCCACTTTATATGGTGCTCGAACCTGCAAGGAAACCACATCAATCACTTTAGCTTTAATGTCAAATAACTTTGATCTGGTATTTATGTATGCATTAACCAAGTATTTTAATACTGAATACAGTCCAAAAGGAAGCTGTTCATAGAATAAACTGATGTTAAAAAAACTTAGAACGTACCCCGTTGTGCATTGATTAAGTAATATAACCATGGGCCTTCCTTAAGCTAGCAGGAAAGCCTGTTTAATAAAGAAGCCCAGCACTCAAGTAACAAATGCAAAATGAATGGGGAAAAGAGATATCCTTAGAAGTGTAAAGCCTAAAAAAAACCTTAAGACCTGAAAATAGTATGTGTGACTATAAAAAAAGACAAAAAAAACAAATTTAAATGTATCATGTATGGACAGGCATGATAATTTATCAAATATTTTACAGTTTCGGCAAACCAAACTGCTTCAATCTTAAAAAGAAACCTTTGAAAAAAAGAAATTTCAATATAGCAGTTTAAAGCAAACACTTGTTTTATAATAAATGTTGAAGTTACTTACTGGGGAGAGATTGTGAAGTTCGACCATTTTCTGTACAGTTGTACCCACAGCAGTGGGTCCAAACTCTATCACGGCCTCGAGTGTTGCCTTGTTCAGTGTGGTCGATGGCTTACCCACAGATGAAACAATTATATGTGGATATTTTCCTGTTTGTCAAAATAATAAAACATCTTTATTGAAAACTGAACATTGCATGAAATAACATAAATACCCTAAATGAAGTACATACGTATTTTTATTATTTCTTCTTTTTTTATATAAACACATATATTCATTAATACATACATTATGGTCATGCTATGCCGTATTTTCTAAACCTTTGGCATACAATGGCAAGAAAATTTACCTTTATGAGTAACAGTTAGGTTATGATTTTCAATTAGAAAATATAATAAAAAGTACTTTCCTTAACTGGCAAATGTTTGCACACACAAAAAAAGAAACATGGGGGTCGTTGGTCCTAAAGCGCTAACTTTAGGACAAAAATGTACAAAATTGTTCTCAGGTGCACTAAAAAATGCCATGACCTGATTTTCTATTCTGTAAAATTATTATAGATATATCAAAAAATTAAGTTGCTAGAATTCTGTCAGAAATACATACCTATTCCTACTAGAGTAGTTGTTTTTGAAAGCTCTCCCTCTTGGCCATATTTACATACAGCCACAGCTTCATATCCAGTGGCAGACTGTAAATATATACATAGATAATTTGTTTACAATCATCGCATAACAGTTACATTAAAGGTGCATAATTATGTCAAAAATCGAGGAAATAGATAACCACCCTTGCCTAAAAATAGGTGTGAAGATCACACATACATAAGCTGTATTTTTTTTTTCATGTTTCTAATGAGTTCTATGAAAAAGTTCAGTGGTATTAAAAATAAATTGAACAAAGGTGTGAGACTTGGACCCAAATGTTTGGACGATTAGAATTGTTTACCCTATATTAATATATCAAGTCAATGTAATGTTTGGCAAGGTATTTAATGTAAATCTTACATCTGGTTTGAATGTTGCTTTAAACATTTTGCTCTCTCTAGGTCCAAGTTTTGTAACCTCAGGTTCAATAGTGAATGGTTGCCCTACCTGCCATTCTAGTTCTGTTTCTAAATCACTAAAAACACATAAAAAATCAAACATTAGACTAGATATACATCTTAAACTTAAACAGGTCAAAACATAAAAAGATTAAAAAAAATCTAGATCTTGTAGAATTCAGGATTTACAAAAAAAAAATATATTAAGTTTCTTATATTTTGATTTATATATTTTTGTCTCTTTTCTTGATCAAAGAAAACAAAGAAATCAAATATCAAAAAATTCAATTCAATTTAACATGCATGGTACATAGCAGAGGCTATAATTATATAGGGACAGCTTTCTGTCTTTCACTTATTCAGTAAATCAAATCTATCAACTAACTGATATAAGTCAGCTCCTGTTAAGTCAAGTTTCTGGTGAAAAATGTGCACAGGACATTTCAGGGAAAATATAGCATTTTTAGGGGGAAATACATGTATACCTTTTTTGGGCTATGGGAAAAAGCCTTTATTCGGCTGTAAATTACTAAAATATTGAGAAAAAAAATCACTGAAATTTTCATATCTTACCCTGAATTAGCCACAACAAAGGTTGCTTCAATAAAATCTTTTGCAGCACACATATCAAAACTGACCCTTGTTGGAACCTCAATGTCATATTTCGGAAGCACTGCTTTGATTGGGATCTCAAAAGTTCCCTCCTATAATAATATATACAAATATTATATATACTGAGAGCCTGGTATTCAATGGGAAATTTCAAATTTAAGAGCAAAATTCCTCTTTTGTTAAAAGGATAAAAGTAGCAGAGAAAAAAAATGAAATGTATAAAAAAATTATAATTCAACATGAAAAACATGGCAGAAAATAAAAACTGCCAGTTAAACATGTACTTTTTAATGCCTAATTAGGTTTTTATGCTATTTAATGTCTATATAAAACCTTCCATGCCAGGTTAACCTGAATTTATTCTATGCTATGTGTACACAATTTTTCTTCTTAAAATAATTGCTGAATTAAAAAAAAAGTATTTTGTCTATATAATTAATGCTCACCTTTGTGTGAAATGTAATCTTATCATCATATACAGATTTTTCTAGTGGTCGAAATGTGACTGGTAGAGAGAAGCTGGTCCCTGCACTAAGCACAATCTGCTTGGGGTACAATGTAGTGAAAAATCGTGTGCTTGGTACACTGAAAGAAAAATAGTTGGTTGGTATATATATATTTAAAGAGGATATTTATTTTGTTTTGTGTGTAAGATCAAATCAACATATATTCCACAGACTTAATACCAGATGCTATATTTTCATGAACGGCATGGCAAATGAATTTTCTACTTATTTAATACTTTTTGCTGCATAATGTTATGAGCTCTATTTAATGATGTCATGTTGAATAACAATTCTGTTAAAATTCTCAAACTTTGTCACATTTTTAACATGCTGTGTGTTAATATTTATGTCATTGGGTTTCCCATCATTAATAACGCATATTTTATTTACAACAGAATGATTTTTTTGACAAAATTTACAATCAATTATGAATATTATTTTCATCTGCATTCAAATAGTTTGGCAACAATGAAATATATTTTTTTTATAATTTCACCATGATATGAAAGTGTGCTTGATCAAAATATGACCAAAATGAGTGTTCAATTGGCGAAAAAAGCAAGAAAACAAACAGAAAAATTGAGAATTCTAAACATTATCAAATATCTTTATTGCTGTCATTACACATCATAAAATTTTAATCATCAACAATAACTGAATATAGCTCTTACTTGTATTTGATTTTCTGAGTCTTCACTTTCACATTTTTTAGAACAATGTTCTTTGTGTATTCTCTTCCTGGCTCCCAACCTTGCCACACAATCTTTTCCACAACTTCAATACCGAGCTCTTCCGGCTTGCATATAGATCTTTCAACTATCTCAATATTGATTCCACCAGATTTTTTGACGGACTTTAACTCTGGAGCTTGTTTGATGGTCTGTCCACCCAAGGAATGGGTGACAGGTTGGCTTACTTGCATCATACTTGTTGGCATACTATAGTTCTTTCCTATAATAAAATTGTTCAATACAAATCAAATTACAATCAGATTATTTTATGTTAGAGCAGTCATGGATAGAAACAATATTGTCAATATTTTTTGTTGATCAATAACCGATACACATTTTAAAATATCAATAATTTTTACTAATTAACAGTGTTTCTGTCAGCTCTGATTTTCTGAGGGTCTTTTATGACCCCCTGTATGATATTTTAGGGGTCATTTCAAATTCATAAGGGTCATGCCAATAAATTTAACAAAAATGTAAAAAAAAAAAACAGGCAACACTTTATAAGTTTTATTTACAATATTTTGTATATTTTTCGTGAAGAAATTGGTCAATCTCTGCTATTTTGGATTATTTGTCATCCAATAATAACGCTGTATTTCTTAAAAATTATGTGTGTTAATTTTCATAGAAGAAAGAAAGTCGATACTATATTGAAATTTGTTCATAGTCGCCTTCTATTTTTCATAGTGCTTCATAGTACCGCCTAGTGACGTAATCAAGGGCCAAATAAAGCTTGACACTAAATATGTTAGTGTTCATCCTTAGCTGTTTTACAGAAATTAGAAACATTCTCCTGTCGCTATCGCTCCCTTCGAAGTTTCTAATTTCTGTAGAACAGCACAGATGAACACTAACAAATACGCAGACTGCATTTTCCAGCAGACAGTTATTCGTTCACAGAATATGACGACAACAAAATAAATAATTTTGTCTGGGCGCTTTCAATATATGCAGTAACGTATAAATGCAAGCGTTTATTAACTAGTTGAAATTGGCTAAATGCCGGACCACGGACCCGGTAAATTTCATTTCTCATTAAAATTATAGTGGAGCCCACGGTAAACATTCCGTACATTTTTATACTGAATTGACGGTTTATAGTCTGTATATCTGACTTGTGTTGAAATCAGCGACGGTGAAATTCTTGCGTCACAAAATACGCACTAACTAAATTTCATTGCGTCATGGCTGAAAATAGTGCGCCAAAAACGCAAAAACGCGCTCTGGCAGAAACACTGAATTAATTTATGAAAATTCACCAAAAACATATACAGAAGCAGGACTGGTGTTCCATGTCTAGAACTATGCTGTCATTATGTGATGATATAGCAGTAATAAGAAAAAAATCAAGCCATTGGCATTTGTAAATAACACTTATGTCATAATGGAATTAACAGAATTAATATGTTTCTTGAATGAAATCATTTAAACTGTTATAAAATTAATTGAGCCGCGTCATGACAAAACCAACGTAAAGCGTTTGCGACCAGCATGGATCCAGACCAGCGTGCGTATCCGCCCAGTCTGATCAGGATCCATGCTGTTCGCTTACCAACTCTATTACAAGTGAAGAAACTGATAGCGAACAGCATGGATCCTGATCAGACTGCTCGGATGCGCAGGCTGGTCTGGATCCATGCTGGTCGCAAAACCACTTTGTTGGTTTTGTCGTGACGTGGCTCAAATTAATTATAAGTTATTATCCATATATCAGTGTATGGCATATGTCCTTGCAGGATTGTTTCTGTCAGACATTTATTAAGGTCACAAATCTTTGGGAAGGCAGACATCAATGAGAATAAGGCATATATTAACTTGGCATGGTCAACACAGTCAACATTTTAAATTTAAAATGTAAATGGAAAACGAGCTTGAACTATAAACATAGCAATCAAAAATAATTCATAATAAAATTAAATTGGCTTTGATGCTTGTGATAATTGTTATTAATGTAATTATGCATGTAAAATTCGAAAATAAGTATCCGTCAAACTGGCATTTCAACACCAATGATATGTTAATCCAAGTATATAACCGTCCACTCACAAGAGGAACATACTTCTTGTACGTTAAAGCACATTTAAAATAAAAGTCAGTTAAAATTATGGCAATTTCAAATACATTATTTCCTGATTGTTATTGGTGGCTGCATTATTTAAACCACGGATTTATATTACAGGGATCGGACACTCCCAGTTTACCCTATATAAATGCTTAAATATCTTGTCGTGCACCCGATAAAGGTACATCGATCGATAATTTACCGGCGCGAAGCGTAAATGCCCGTTCGCAACGGATACCTACTTTACAAAATACCATATAGCTTTTTCATTTATTATCCGATTTTGGAAATTTAAAGTTTATTTTGAAGAAAAATACTTGGTTAATTCAAATATCTAATTTATTTTTTAAAGGTACAGTTTATCTGTCCGCAACGACGGTTAAAAAATTAACTTGACGAAATCCGCGGTAAATTTACATTTTTTTTTATATAAAAAGCAGGTATTTGAAATTTATTATTAAGGTACCATAATACTTTCAGTTTCAAAACAAAAAAGAAGCCGATGTAAGTTATTCACAGATGATCAAAGGTGCAATATTTAAGATTTGTTGGGTTATGTAGTCAAATTTATTAACGCAAAATTGTTTTACGGGTAATGTATTGCGGCCTTTACACGTGAAGAAAATTTATTCATTTTTTATTACAAAATATTGCCGAGATTGTCAATATTGCCATATTCATAGAATATTTAAATTTCATTCATCATTTATATCATTATTATTTTTTGTAAATCTGTTTTCAAATGTCGGTGCAGTGAAGTATAAATCATCGTAACAGTAAAGTTCTCTCGTGTGGCTGTCTCGATTCCGGCCTTTTAAATGTCACTCGTATATTTTAATCCGTATATTTTAATTATTCTTTTTATTTGAATGCCTGTAGAAAGATATTTATTATACTTTTTAATGTAACGCTAGAAAAACAATAAAAATCTTTACAGTTTGAGTCAGTATTTTGCGAAATAAAAGTATTAAACTGTTGATTATTTTTTACACATCGCTTAAATTTCTTTCAAGTTTAATTACTTTTGAAGGGGGGTAAGTGATAATTAAAAAACTTTATTTCCAAACTTTCATTACCAGGTTACATGTGATAATTGCAACACTCAATCTTCAAAAACAAATATAATTTGAATGTATATTTTGTATATGCGCGGTCTTTAACTACAGTTCATGGCATATGTGGTAAGAAAATGATTCTGAAGAGGATATATATAAATACAATGTAAATCTATTTTGTTGATTAACATTTATAAATGAAATTGAAAATATACAACTAAATTTGTATAGTCCTTTCTCTGAAAAATGATGAAAATAAACATGTGATAAATAAATCATTTGACGTAAATTGTTTAGGATATCTATGAAAAAATTATGTTTCAAAATAAAAAATAATATTATAAAACAGCCGTTCAATAAAACGTGCCAATAAAAGTTTCTTCCTTGCCAATCTAATGAATTCATCTATATAGGAATGCTTGTCTGGAATGATCTGAAAATATATTTAATACACTTAATAGTAGAATATTTACTATATTTATACTAATATACAGGTAATCAAATAAAAAATGTACAAATCATTTGGAAATAATTCACAGAAATAAAGACACATTTCAAACATGAATTTCTTTAAAAGTTTTTTAGCAATCAAGAAACGTTTTTTTGCAATGCCATCATTAAACCATGTAAAAAATAATTATCTTATTCTGAATCGCGGTAATAATTCGTGCTTGAAGTAAAAGGGCGGCGAAGTGTAGAGAGTATGCCTAAACAATAGGCGAATATTTTTTAAATTAGGTACTTTTTAACTAAGCGTTGCAGCGTTCTATCAGCATATTTTCATATAATAATACTTTAGCGACACAAAATAATACTGTATCAATACATTCATATGTGTATAATTTTTCACAAAGCTGCAATAACACCACATACTCCGGTGAAAATCTGTCATATTTCGTACTCCGCACGTTCCGCCATCTCATTCTGTCCACCTTTATCCGATTCCGCGCATGCGCGCGACGGGACTTTAAGCTAAACGAAAGTGTCCGATCCTTGTAATATAAATCCCTGTTTAAACCAATAAAAGGCAATATAAAACAGATTTCTGTCATTAAACAAAATATCTATCCATTTAAATCATCACAATTATAAATATATCAACTCAGGGTATATAGAAGACTTGTCTCCAGAATATTTTAACAGGAGAAATAATCAAATATCTACAGAAAGCGAGAGATAAACAACATACAGCTCGTTATGTATCCGCCATATTTGATAAACAAAATGGAGAAGTTGCTAGGGGATGGAAGCAATTTGTATTTTAATCAAGCAGAAGTTATTATGCGGCTTACCTCCCTGACAAGTTATCTACATTATCATTCCATAAAATATCAACTTGTTATAACAATTCAAGCCATGAGAAATTCATAATTTGCCAATGTTTTTTCCAAATTTCGCATTCAAGGGAGGTAATTTTCTTAGCAACAATGTGCTGTGTGAAATTAGCTTGGCTGTGCGAATCATAAGATAGAACACCACCAAATATTTTCTTCAGAGATAACTAAATATGTGTGAACAGCGTTAACGGGCCCGTACGGCTAGCCACTTCCTTCATTTAAATACAACAAAATTCAGAATATCTTTTCACTAAGAAACAAGAGGACAGCATTGTGACAGAAATGCATTCATTAAAGGAATCCGCCAAACTAGATTCTATCAATCAAATTGATTGATTGGTTTGTGGAGTTATTGACATTAGCATACAGTGATGTTGGCAGTGCTGTTAGACAAAATGAGGAATTTTCTCACTTTAGGTCAAACACATTTTACATCCTCCCAATGGTTTATTAAATACCGACTTTATACCTGTTCCTCTCTAGTTGGTGTTGGAAATTTAAACCTAATTCCATTAGGGGTCTGGGAGATTAATAAAAAATGTTAAAAAGAAAAAAAAGAAAGAAAACAATTATTGCCTCCTCTGGGGTTCGAACCCACGCCCCTCAGTTTCAATACACTTTACAGTGATTCTAGCCTATTTGAATACTTTTCATAGTGGAGATAGTGCATTAGGGGTGTACTACCTTAAGGAAGTCTTCCAGAATTTTAAGAAATGCAGTAATTCGGTCCTTTTAACAGGTAGCTTGAGCAAGACCTCGTCTGCCATCTTTACCTTGTTTCTGCCACCCTATTATATCTACCAGGCATAAACTAGGCATGTAAGTTCTACATATTTTTTTCTTTTTCGTTATTTGAACCTTAAGAGGCATTTGATTATTTCAGGCACAGACAGGCACCAAAGTAGGGCCACTAACCTTCCATTAGCTAGCCTGTCAAGCTCAATAGTTTCCTCACATGAAAGAAAACATTGGCAAAGTTCCTGGCTGAATTTGAACCTACAGAGGTAAGGGGGAAGTGATTTTAAGACAATGACCTTGACCACTCAGCAAGAGATGGCCACAGCCAAAAATACATCAGATTAACATTGATACTAAATCCAGTATAAATTGCTACGTCTATGTCAACAAGTTCTGATCAGAATAATGTTCATGGACGATAAACCCGTAAAAATCTATCAAATATCAAACAAAAGTGGAATAAAATAATTTTGAAGTCAGTTTGCTCAGTGTAAGTTTTAATTGTTCAGGCTTCATAAATATTGTTCAACATTTTTGGTCAAATAAATTAATAAATATATTTCAAGATGACAAGATGGTCCTCAAAATAAAACAGTTGTATAATACAGTACATGTTTTCTGAACTAATATCAAGATCTTTATTATTATTTATTATATATCAATTGTTGCAACACAAAGAACTTGCTAATGTTGTCTCAATTTATTATGATATGTACAAGTTATCAGGAAACTGGAAAAAGAAAATCAACAAATACATAATTATAAAACATTCAGATGTTTCTCCATATATCAAATTGAACAGATTTTTTATTTTTCAAAATAGACTGATGTTTTGTTTTTTTCAAGGCCAGGAATTTTATTCGAATATTGGAAACACTATTGAATATTCGAACATTGAAAAAAGAATATGAATATTCGAAAAAAAAGATTAGTTTTTTTATTGTTTGACGAAATTCATTAAAGTTCAAAACGGCCATTTGCTATGATACAAATGAGATTTAAAAATAACTAACAAAAAAAACTTACTTCTTTGAAAATGTCTACAAAAAGGAATGAAATATAATTTTGTATTTTCAAATTAGTAGAAAGAGAGAATTGAAAAATTAAACTAAAGTCATAGGTTAAAGTGACATTATGCAAGATAACAGGCAAACTTTACATTTTGATATAATTGCTTTCAATTTCTTGTTGTACTTTACATATGAGCCGCATCATGACAAAACCAACATAGTGCGTTTGCGACCAGCATGGATCCAGACCAGCCTGCGCATCCGCGAAGTCTGATCAGGATTCATGCTGTTCATTTACAAACCCTATAACACGTACAGAAACTGATAGCGAACAGCAAGGATCCTAATCAGACTGTCTGGATCCATGCTGGTCGCAAACCCACTATGTTGGTTTTGTTGTGACGCGGCTCCTATGTAAAGTACAACAAGAAATATAATGTAATTTATAAACCATTTGATTCTTAGAAAATTCTGTAAATGTCCTTTGCAATGTATAAGTAACAAGAGTGGAGCAGTGATTATATATTTTATCCTAGACCTTTTTTTTTCATTATCAATTACTGATCAATAAGTATTACAACATACAACTTTTGAAACAAAATAGCTAATTCAGCTTAATTAATGACAGCAGAAAAATGTGCTTAATGTCACTTTATTTAAGAAACCCTTCAGTAATTTTCTTATTAAAAAAAATCAAATAAGCACTTGGTATTGAAAATACTGTTCACGTTTTGCTTGGATTTTTTTTTTAATTGTTAAGTAACATTATCAAAAGTTTAATACATTATTTCAAGTTTTTTTTTTACTTTGGTTTAGTCTTACTTATCATTTTAGAAACTTATGACAGATGAAAACATTGCGCTGTAATATATTTTAAATAAAAATTATAATAATAATAAATATTTGGTTATGTCCGGATTAAGCAGCATGCAAACAAATGTTTGTTCCAAATTAAATTATACTAAAATAGCACAAAAAGTCTAAATATAGCCTTTTAACAATCTCTTCAAGGTGATAAACTTTTAACTTGTGATAGTTATATTTATACTTATATTTATATACATTTCTTTTAGTATTTTACCTTCTAAAACTGATCTTAACTTACATCTCATGATTTTAGCACATCTCTAAATGTATATATAGCACCAATTTATTATCAAACAGAAAGTAAAAATTCAAAATTAACCTAAATATATCAAAATTTGAAACAAAAATTTGTTATTTGGATTCCGTGGATCAAGTTGTGACAAATATTGGATAGACTGGTTGTGTGGCAAATCTTAGATTAATGTCCATTATCCGCGAATGCAAAGAACCCTTCAACCACGAATCTCCCGTGTTCTCCAGTCGACAACAACAGTGGATTATTTCGGCATCATTCAACATAGCAGTGTCAAGTCCGTGATAGAATCGGTTTTGAGGTCCTTCCTTAGTGTTCATTTTTTGGTTCCTAGAGCACTGTTTACAGCATCTACTTTCATCTTCACATGTTCCCTCAGTCCAAGTTCCAGGTGTAAGCCAGTCCATTGCTATAGAAACGTTCCAACAGTTTGGCCAAGAATCAACAAGACAGGGTCCGGATGAACAGAATTCTTTGGTTTCCTCGGGGTTCAAGGTCGTATCTATGGTTTCAGGGTCATTTTGATCGGAGTCGTTACTTGGTTCATATGTAAGTTTGGCACCATAAGCAAAGTTCAGAAATGTGTCTTTTAGAGTAACAAGAGCAAGGAAAGGTTGTAAGAATCCATTAAGCAGTCCATTTTCTTTGACTTGTGACCTTGAGTCATACTTCAGTTCAAGGTCGTCATCAACTTCTGAATCTGCAAGTTGGGCGGCATCCCCATGTGAACCTGTGTTATTATCAATCCATTCTTGCAGACTTTCTTGACCATTCAACATACTGTCAGTCGAGTCTGATCTATTTCTTTCCATGACCTCTGACCTTGGTATCTCAACCAATGACCTTGGATGTGTAACCTCCAGCGAAAGTTCTGGGTACAAGGTCAATGCTGGCAGGACTCTGATGCACAGTGGAAGGATGGCTGAGCCAGAGTTCACCAAGGTCAAGGTCGTTGCTGTTCCCAACATTGTGGATCCAACCATCGTCAGTATACCAGCCAAGTACGCAAGTGAAGTTGCCGAAAATACCTACAATAGGGCAAAGAATACATGAATTAATATTTAAATAGGAAATCAAATGCTTCAGAAGCATTATCTAACAAGCAAATTATACCCAAAAGAAACAAGTTCTTAATAAAGAAAGTGGGAAGTATATTTCTAAAACATTTTCCATTTACAAAATAATTCCTTTATTGTTTTAATCCATCATGAAATCACTCTAGAACAATTCAAAACTGTCATCTATCCTTAACATTTAGCATGTAAGGATGCCTTTTCTTTGTGACTTTGTTTCTTTAAGCTCCATAACACAGTCAAGGCCACTTCTAAATTTTAAGCCTTTTGTTATGTAGAATGGCTGTAAATCTATCTATCTACCTACGTTCAATTTAGTCGAACACCTTCCGGGGACTTAAACTTTGAAATTAAGGCACTTCAGGAATACAGATACCTAGGTAAAACCATTTATTATTATATTTCCAGCTAGATACATGCTATACAATGCCCATAAAATAGATTCCAATTTCTCAAAAGTTTTTACGCACATCCCTTCAAGTTCTGACTTACTGGAGTTTGACTATATAATGAAGCCTGTAATCTTAACCATCCAACAACTAAGCGCACTTCCATATGCACATCATTTGTTTGTTAGTTTGTTTCATTTTACGCCTTTTCCCAACAGTATTTCAGTCACACAGGCGGGTAGTTTCCTAATCATTGTTCCTGGAGAGTTACACCAGTACTAGACTACCTTCCTCCGCGCTAAACTACCAAAGCATCTCCCGGGGATCAAACCCACGCCAGAGAGGTAACTGGATTAGAAGTCATCGACTCTAACCCCTCGACCACGGAGGCGGTGGTTCATATGCACATAAAGATGTGATTGAAAAATAAAATGACTGGGTTACTTACAGTCGAAAGTTCAGTTACAAGGTCACTCCAGTTCATGAATTTCAAATCTTGAGACAGCACCATAAGATCCGTGTAAGAGAACCAGCCCCTCTCTAGTCCTTGTTTTAATGCAATCCTGAATAATGACAATAAACGTTAAAATTATTCAACAGATTTATCACACATAAAGTTGCAAAATACATCTTTAATGAGAAATGGACAACGAATAAGGTACAGTCTTACCGGTCTATAGTAACTTCAAATCAGATTTACAAAATAAAGTCGCTATACACAGAGGGTCTTTATATACAGAGTCAATTATCAGTAATTTAAGTTTCAATACATTTAGGTCTCACCCCCGTTTGGAATTAGACCCAACCCATTGTAGTCTTAAAAGTTTGTTTTTTTCTGTGTATTCTCCGCAAACTGATTTGTTGGCGGAATGATTAAAACTGTACTACCCACCAGCAGTTAATAGTTTTTAAAGTGGTGAATTGAAACAGTGTTACAACAGTACAATGATTTCTAAACAAGAGCTGTTGGTAGGACAGCAACACTCGACTATTCTTAATGCTTGATAGTAAAAAAAAATGCTTGATATAGTTACCTCCTCCTGTTTACAGGTTGGGGTCATGATGGTGAACAAGTGTGCAAAGTTTCAAAGCCATATGTCAATGGACTTTGAAAATATTTGAACTATTACAAAAACTTTAACGTAAATTCTTATCCAAAAAGGGACATAATTCTGTCAAAATGCTTGATAGAGTTACCTCCTCCTGTCTACAGGTTGGGGTTATGATGGTGAACAAGTGTGCAAAGTTTCAAAGCCATATGTCAATGGACTTTGAAAATATTTGAACTATTACAAAAACTTTAACGTAAATTCTAAGTCCAAAAAGGGGCATAATTCTGTCAAAATGCTTGATAGAGTTACCTCCTCTTGTCTACAGGTTGGGGTCATGATGGTGAACAAGTGTGCAAGGTTTCAAAGCTATATGTCAATGGACTTTGAAAATATTTGAACTATTACAAAAACTTTAACGTAAATTCTAAGTCCAAAAAGGGGCATAATTCTGTCAAAATGCTTGATAGAGTTACCTCCTCCTGTCTACAGGTTGGGGTCATGATGGTGAACAAGTGTGCAAAGCTTCAAAGCCATATGTCAATGGACTTTGAAAATATTTGAACTATTACAAAAACTTTAACATAAGTGGTTACGCCAACGCCAACGCGGACGCCGACGCTCGGGGTACTACAATAGCTCTACTTATTCTTATCGAATAGTCAAGCTAAAAAAGTAGATGGCTAACATATTATATTTCAAGCCTAATTTGACTTAGTGTTGATGTTTAAAGTTGAAGACAGTATATAATTCATCAAGAACAGTGGAAACGAGAATTAAGCCTCAAAATGTGACTGATTTACTATAGAACAAAGAATACGAAACATCACCAGGCGCACATATGCATATGAAATGAATATTTTTAGTCTTCTGTGAGGGGACAAACATGTTATTTATAATGTTTAATAATACATTTAGAGCATTAAAAAAACTGATAGTAAAGAAAATAATGTAGAATATGTAATAATTGATGATTAATGTTGCAAAATATAAAGAAATGGTAGTTTCAATACAAGTATTCCATTAAAATACAAAGTCAATGAGGTGTACATGCACTAACTGGCAAAATGCAAAAGAAGCAAGAAATGGTTCAGATATTTGGCCAATCATGGCTTAAGGAGCCTTTAACATTTTCCAAGATGATCATGTATATTAACAACAAAAACATGCCATATTCAATTTTTTAACCAAAAAAAAACAAAACGTATAAAAGAAGCCATCCAGGAAAGTCTTTTACATATTGGTGCTTTAATAATATATTCCTTCATATATATATAAAACAATATGAAAATTCACCTAAATGAACTGTTTATTTTGATCTTTTCATATTTTGTCAATTATATTATATAGAACGTTGACTATAAGTATATAGAATGTTGACCCCAAAAATGCCTGCCACTTTTGGCAAAGGAGGTAAATATTGTAAAAATCATGAAGTATCCTCTCATTTTTAACCCTATTTCTGCTGAATTTGTAGAATAATGACCAATGATTCCATCAAAATATTCATTAACAACTCACCTCTTCTCAACCTTATGTAGCATTTCTTGAAATTCTTCAGGTCTAACAAACAGCTGCCAGTCCTGAAAGCATAAAAACTGGACAGTTATTTCAAATTCTATTTTGATGCTAAGCGTTTGAAGTTTTACATATCTAAACTTTACACACATTATTATTCTTTATCTATAACTCATTTTAGATGTCTCTGTATTAAAAGAGAAATAGAACACATACATAAAACAGTTTTAAAATACCGAGCCAACAGATTGTGGGCCGGGACAAGGAAATGTTCTATTTTTGGTTTAAACATATCTACTTTTAAATCGATTGTGAACAAGTTCTTGCAACATATAATAATCACTTTCCAGTCTGCTTCCTGGAACCAACCAGTACTTGTGTGGCAGACACCTTAACAACTAGGCCACCGCTCCCCTTCTATTTTTAGAGCTTCCTATCCCTCTGTATTATGTGTCTTGTAAAACAGACTGACATATAATCAATTTATGAATAGTTATATCAAAGAAAATTTCTTGGTAAAAGGAAACAGAACATAACCTAACACGATGATATCATTGTGATGTCACGATATGCATCACTTACGATTGCCGAAAGAAAGTCCAATTCCAGTTGGTTAACATCTTCAGTTTCAACGTCACCAGAATTCGCCCATTCGTCATTGAACACTTCTTCATCTACACCTTCATCATATAAAAATTTCGAAGCCATCATCTACAATAAATGAATGAAATACTCATACTGAAATATATTCTTAACGACAATATTTGTTTGCATAATAACTGTACGGAAAGTAGAAAAATATTACTACCATTATTATTGATATTCATAATTGCTGCTATAAATAGAAACTAATAACTGCAAGTAAGAAAGAAATACTTTGATGAAATTTGTTTTCATTATGTGACATGCTCATTTTTTCATTGACAAGTTGAGCTAAACTGACTATATAATCAAAAGATTGACTGTTTAAATGATGACTGACTAAACAGCTGATGTACTGGAAAAAACGTACATGATAAATACAACTCTGTCTAAAATATAAAAAGCTTTCCATACTCTTTTTATAAACTGAATGTTAAAGGTATTTTCCCGACAGATATTAATAGAAATTTCCTTGGACCATGTGAATCATCACCATGATAACTGAGGCTCAACTTTATATTGTTAGACTATAAATCATTAATTTATTACCATAGAAATAAGGAACAGTTCAGAAGAGGAAACTTGTGTCAGATAGTCGGGCTGTTTTTTCTTCAGACGCTTTACATATACCATACCAGCCATTACTGAGGACGGTGAAATACACGCCGACCTGGACGTGGAGGCCGCAAGATAGTTATCTAGCTTTCCCAACTCTCTTGGTGCAGCTTCATTGTAAAAATCAACCAATAAATCTGGAAAAATAAGATATCCAAAATTACTATAGTTCTGAGAATTCTTGCCAATAACCTGTTGGCAATAAATTTCACGCACTACCGTTTTTTCTAAATTCTTTGATACATTTTAATTCATTAATCAGTATCAACTTATGATACTTATCATTTAATACTATAAAGACTGTCAAATCAGTGTATCATACTTACCCTGTCAGTGATTTTCCTACTTATATAACAGACTCCGAAAAAAGGCCTCTTCCCAATTGAAATTTTCTTTAAAATCATGCAGTTTTCCCAAAAATCTTAACTTAAACCAGCTTTTTTACTTCCCAAATCAGCAATTTTAGCAACTATTTTTCCCAAAATCAAGGCCTCTTCCCAATAAAGGGAGAAAAATCAATGCCTTTGTAAATATTCAAAACATAATTTCAACCTGTTAGTAGGTAAGTGTAGCACCGGACAGATTTAATTTCCTTAATGCTGACTTACAAACACTTACCTGAACTTAGTGTTTGAAATTTTTTTGTCCAATAGGATTTTAAATGAATTGTTTCTTTGGTAACTCAGCTTTGAATGCTTCTAACTATTAATCAGTCTAGTAAATTTAGTAAAATAATTTCATAAATAATTTCATACACTAAATCACACCGCTTTTGACTTTTTCAAATGCTTTACTCTATACTTAAATCAAAAATGACAATCGTCAAAAATAAAACACAAACCTACCTGTGACAGGTAAAGAAGGTCTCTCGGTTCCAGGGAGTTTTCCATAGTACAAGGTCTTCCTTAATCTTTCATTGAAGAAATCATTCTCCTGAAAAAGAATAGAAAAAAAACTCAATTTCTGTAAAACAATTGTTGCACAAGCTCATGAATCTGCTAAGTTAGTGTAAACAAATTTATTTCAGTTAGATTGTGTAGAAAGCTATAAGCTTATTGAAACACTCTTGAATCTGTTCGCTCCTTGAACCGACCAGTTCTAAGTATTGTTGGGATTTTATTAATTGGTTAGATAAACCAATATTACCACTGCAACGTGTCCACTTGTGTTCAGTTTTTAAAAGTTTCTGATAGTTGACAAGGGTTTGGCATAACTAGGTTGTGTTTGATTATTCCCCCCACACACATACAGATTTACAGACACTTCACCCAAAGCCATTTTTTGCAGACACTTCACCCCTCCAGACTTCCCGAAATACGTCGGTCCGACAGACATGTCCGATAAATTTTTATCAGGTCCGACAATTTTTTATTCCCGATCGGTCCGACTGTCCGGCTTTTATCCAAGCCGCATGTATAAAAAATGGCGTCGCTAAAGGTGCCAAACCTTGGGAAAACCCAAAATCTACGTCAGAAGAGTGCCCAGAACAGCAATAAAAGGATGAAAAGCATAGACCTGAGACAAAATTTAATGAAAAATGGAAGCAGAACCATGAATCATTGGTGTATGACAGGGAGGAGATGAAAATGCGCTGTACGGATTGTGCCGATTTTTACGGCGAAAAAATAAAAAAAACAAAAAGTGTCTTAGAAATACAAACACAAGTTTTTCTTTGATTTTGATCAATTTTATTTGGTCCGACAGATTTTGTTTCGGTCCGACAGATTTTCATGGTTTGTCAGACCGAATGTCTGACAGTTTTTTTCAACTTTCGAGAAGTCTGCCCCTCTTTTGAAAAAATCTGATTGAGACGACTTCACCCCACATTTTTTAAGCGTTTCACATATATCATGATATATGAAGGGGAGATATGTGAGATCTATGTAATCAAAATTTTAATTTAATTCAAATTGTTCATTTCCACCTCATCACATGTAGAACAAACACTTCACAATCAAAATGAATAAAACTGATAAAAGTACATATATGCCTTTCAATACAGAATTATACTAGACGTGTAAACAAAGCTTACATAGGTAAATATAATCAAAAATCATATTTACATATATAATTATATACAATACACTTAGTCATTAAATACATTAATTGTATTGGGAATGCTGTAAATCTATCATTTTATATTATAGAAAAACTTTTATTTCAATCAAGAGTCATGTTAAATGATATGCACAGGGTTCTCAGGGACGCTTATTTCGGCTTATTACAGCTGGACGCAAATATTTCAGAGCAAGGATTCCACGTATGCTTAATTTTGCCAGGGGACGCATAAAATTACCGATTGTTTACAACCACAAATACACAAATACGTTGGCGCGTGTCAGTCTATAGGTAGGCGGTCCTATGCACATCGACCCGTGAAGCGATTAGCCAATCAGCGATAACGCTTCCGGTCATTATCACGCAATAGAGATCAGACTAATGTATGTACACGCGCTGTAGGTGTAATTACCAGATATAACACAAGGTGATAATTTTATATCTTTGATCAACAGTTGATTGGAAATTAGCAAATTTTGCCGACAAAAGGATAAAATTATCGATTATTTACGCCCCAAGTTTAAAATTACAAATGAGTGTACTTTTGAATGATTGTCGAACATTTTCGGCATTTTCTAGGCACAATTTTGCTTTAGTTTCATTCTTGCAAAAACGTTCTACAAGAGTATGAAGAATTTAAGATATTGTGCCGAAATGCCAAGACAACAAACAAAAATACACATATGCTTTTCTTTGATCCGAAAATTGATCCCGAACATCGGCGATTTCACGTTCGCCAGAAACCCTAAAATTTCGCAAAAATTCTAAGTTTCCAATCCAAACATGTGAATGAATTGTTCTTTTATTATTTAATCAACATTAAATCTTTAAATATCGATCTTCAATTTGCCCCCTTTTGAAGATATTTGCTAAAATAATTGCTGATCGGATAAATCTCTTACACACTGTGTGAAGCTGTACACGATTTTCCTATTCATTCCGCTAAACGCTGCCTATATACATTTACATTTTTTTTACAAATATAAACATTTTGTCTTTAGAGTGGACTTATTTAACCAGAATAAAATTTGATTTGGTACAAATGTGAAAAAAAAAACACAAAAAAACGATTTCCATGAATTGTGTTTATGCATTATAATGAAATAATTTCATAATAAATATTATTTATTTGTTTGCATGTGTGTTTGACTCGTTTTATCTCTTTGTTGTTGTATTTCAAGCGTAAATACCAGGTTATAACGTACATGTCATGACGGTCTCATCTTTCGGACCTGGATAATTTGTTACTTTCGGGTTTTATAACATTAACTAGCGGTTAATTGGGGATCTGTAAATAGTAAATTGTAATAGAAAAATATATTGTGCATTGATTCCATGCAAAAATCCGACGATAGATCTATTACCGCCCGGTGAAAAATTTTAACACAGATAACCGGCGTACCCATAATTTTCGTACCTGAATGTTGCATACCTTGTCTATAATAATATAACAGTGAAAAAAATTATTTTATTTTTTTTTAATATATTGATATTTTATTGTATAGCCCGGGGTTCTATGATATCAAGGTACTTAACGTTTATCGGAAAATATTTAAATATAAATATCATAAATGAATGAGATTTTTCTTCCATCTTATAAATGAACCTTTTCCAGAACTGCTTCTCAAAAAATTATTTCAAAAGAACCAATAAAAATGACATTATTTAGAATATTTTCAATGCCTGCCATTTTGGGTCATTTCAGAGGAGGTTACTACGGTATCAAGGTAATCCCAAAAAAAAAACAAGTATGGAAGGATTGATGGGTCAAAACTTTCAAGTTAAGTTGTGAAAAACTTCCATCGGTTAACTTGCTATAAAATTAAAACTATATGAACAGACTATATGTCAGTATATGTGTTTATAACATATTTTAATTGACTGTGTAAAAATCACTAAGGAAAATGGTAGTCAAATATGAAGGTTTTATAAAATAGTTTTCTTGCCCCAAATACATTCATTATTCACCAAATTAAATTTATTGGCAGATGAAAATGAATCTAGTATGCAAGTTTTACAAATATTAGCATCATCATATGTTGCTTTTACTAGCAGTCACAGAAAATTTAAATACCTTGATATCATAGAACCCTTGATATCATAGGAACCGAGTATAAATAACAAAGTCAAACACATTTTAGGCCAAATCAATGCCACTAGCACCTGTGCGATAAACATGGAGCCAAAACATTGCCGTTCCAAACACTCATTTTTCGCCCTAAATGGTCTATAACACTTACTTCCTCCATCTCTCTCGGACAAATATACGTTCCTTCATGGAACGACTTCTCCGATAAAAACATCAGGTTTAATTTCTATGGTAAAACATGTAAAAGAATTAAAATATTTTGATGAAATTTCAGGAAATACTTCTGGGTTGCGGTTGATTCTTGTCAACGAATTTTAACTCTTAATATTAATCGAACAAATTGTGGAAAGATAATGTATGCTCAAAAGAAACAGGCATAGGTGGGTACCCAATAACGATGTCCTTGAAAGTGCTAAATTGTCAACTTAGACCTAATCATAGAGTAATTAGAGTAATTTCTTTGTTGATTTTTTTAAATCAGTTTGATCTACCATAGAGGAATAAGAAGCTATAGAAAATTGTAAATATAACAGAGTGCCCAATAATATGACTCGCGATTAAAGCTGGATCGGGTTCCTCCCCGGGAAAAAAAGAAATCTGCACGTTAAATGTTGACTTCTGTAACATGGACGAGTTATAATTTCTGCTCCATTTGTTGTCCGTGGGCAAGTGGCAAAAATCATATTTCCAGTTTACCACACCCCTGGCTTTTTCATTAATGGACTGAGAAACGTGCAATTAAAAGAACTACGCACGTTTATTATGGATATGCAACAAGAAAATACAACAAGGATCAACAATGCTAAGTAACATTCAGAGAATGCAGTCCCCACACTGGACTACCACAAAGGCACTCAGTCGGGTAACCAACAAAAAGCAAGAGAGAGCACGAAAGCCGGAACATAAAGTAGTCGTGCAAATAAATGATAAGATTTTAACAGTACAGAAACCACTAAAATTTTAAAGCCGTATAAAACATTTCAAAAGCAAGTGAAATAACACAATTGTATAAAATTGTCAAGGAAAAATCTGTGACTAATAAATATGATCTTCGGTGAAACCTTTAGCAGTTTTATATTTGACTAAAAACGTAAGAATAAGTTTGCAACCAGAAATGCTTGAAGTACAAGTTTGCAACCAAAATGTGCTTGAACAAGATATTTTTTAGCATAAAACCTTTATTTTGAACATGCAAATTAAAACATTAACACAAATTTGACAGAAATATACCTTGTCTTGTTTCAGTGAACTTCAAATCTCAAAGATGTGAATAAATTAGTAGAAAATCCGACTAGAATGGTCACTTGTCAGATCGCAAAGTATGTACATGACCAGTTTATATCTTCAATAACTTCGTCAAATCAGAAGTTAGGAAGCTGAGATCCAAAACCGAGTATGTCTAAAACATTGCCTTAAGTAATAGGCATATTAAAAAAATAACATACAAACCCACTTTCCTGTAGGAAATATGTGCCGGTGTTGTAAATATTCGTAACTCGGGTACCATTTTGTCAAGTTTGCAAAGATTTTTCTTGCTTAAACAAAGTGTGCAACCACTTCACGTGGCAAATATTACAATATTTTTGATTAGTAAAAAAAAGCTGAAAATTTTAATGAAACTTAAAATATGGATAGATGGTAGTATGGAAATTATACACATCATTTTAATATTGACTATAGCTAGGGAGTATATTGAGAGCTGTCATACTTAACAAACGTCGGCAACCTAGTCAAGATTTCTGATTCTAGTTTTTAGGCTTTTTTCACTATAAGTTCTTTATTTCTTAAGGTATTTACATACGTTTCTGGTCATCAACCACATCATATGTGACAAGGTTTAAACTCTAGCACAAACATTATCAGAATTGCCTCCCTTGTACTTACATGATAAAGATGTTGTTTTTTTTTTAAATAACTTCTTTATGTCTTAATATATCTTCTTCAAACTTCATATATGTGTTTCTTATTATCACTTAAATCAGTACGCTAGCAATACTATTTCCAGAATTATGTCCCCCTTGAACTTAGATTTGTTTCGAGAAATTGGTACATTTTACTCCAACTTCTTCATTTAATACTTATAGAATTTACTTCATACTCTCGTATCATAATGATATGACAAGGTTTATAAATCTAGCATCCTTATTTCCAGAATTATCTCCTCCTTAAACATTGATTTTTTTCTTATTCATTCTTTTAACTTTCTTTTACTTCGAATTCAAAATAAACATTCATTATGAACAGCTTCGTTACTAATTGTTCTTAGTTACACTCACACCATGTATGACATCTTGGATCTTTATTTCAAGAATTATCTCCTCTTTAAGAATTTTGCTTTTTGGTAACAGGGATCATCCGATGTATAAAAAATTATCTTTAGAGTGTCCTTCAGTCTGTCTGTTCATAAAAACTGTTTCCTGTGATCACTTTTAAAGAACTTTTCCAACATTTTTTTTTTTTAAAGACAAAAAATTGAAACATTAGTGAATGGCCAATGGCCCTTCAGAATGTTACTAGGGTTCTAACCGGTAGGGGACTTATGGATTGCTTGCAATACTATGATAATTGCTTGTTTAATCTGACTGATAATTAAAAACCTTCATGCACACCGCGAACTTTTATTACACACGTTATTTAATACTCAACTTTACATATTAAGCTATCTATAACACATCTTTATCTTTTTCTTTTTCAAAATCTTGAAAATTGCATTTTATTGTAAATACCTTTTT